CGTGTGCGCAAGGATCGTTAAAATTTTATGGGGATTAAAGCGGATTTCATGCGAAAGCGATGAAACGCGTCCCTTAGCGTATAAACTCCTTAGCCGCTCGCGCTTACTTTACCGCCCGGTAAATAATAGCCGCGCGCATGTGATTGGTTTGCCGTTCACGTGCCGCAAATCGTAATTCCGAATTCCCCCTCGAGGACGATCGTCGTCGTGAGACCAATTATCATTGTCACGTTATCAGACCGATTTAGCACGACAAATTAGCCGGTCATTAAATGGTCGCGAATTTACACGGTATATAACTGTTGTCCTTAGACGCGACATATTAAAATGAATAATTTCGAATACAATATATCAACTTTATTTTTAAACGTTATATAATAATAGGTTAAGGCAGTACAGTTTTGAAACATAGTACAATTCTAGTCTCTAAAAGTGAAAAGGAGTTTTCAATGTATATCATTTTCCAGTGGCATACTTATAGAACTGTGATATTCAGTGAGTATTTTAATGTTTGATAGTCAGTTTTGCTGTCAAATAGTTTTGAGAACTAAAATTCACTGTCTTTCAGTGGCAGTTTGAATCAGTATATCATCTCTGAAACAATTAAAATACTTTTATCACAGTTCTAAGTATGCCACTGAAAAATGATATATATCAGTAATGATTTCATTGATTCACTTTTTGAGAGTATACACTGAGAGAGAAAAATGTTTGCAATTAATAATAATTTAATTGTATTAATGTATGTCATTTTCAGTGCCAACTTTATATTCGTTTGGTAGAACTGTAAATATAATTATTATTACTAAAATTATAGGAGTAATAATTATAATACATGGTCCACAATGTGCAGTAGCAGTAGGCTGTAAACCGTAAGTCGTAAAAAATTACCCAATTATAATTGAATGTGAAAAGAAGAGAATAATTAACTGTGATTGATCAATTTCTTACGGCTTATGACTTACAGTTTATTGCCCATTGCAAAATCACATTGTACAAAATTGGAACTCTTAATTATTATTTATAATTATTTTACAATGCAATTATAGTCGCAAATGCCAAAACATTTTTCTCTTAGTGCACGAAATAAGATTTAAATTTAATTTTCAAAGTTCAAGTGTGATTTCTTCCTGTTTGATATCTTTTAATATTTTCCACACAATAAGATTATTTACCTGAATCTCGAAAATAAGATTCAAATCTTACGTCGTATAGAATTGTACTATGTATGTTCAAAATATTATTTTACTTTTATTTTAGAAGGAAATATACGCAAGCATCTTCTTGACTTTTTAATATGAATTTGTTGCAGTGCCTATAGAAAAAAATACGAAATTTGTATTTTTTTATAAGTGTCTCTTATTAATCACAAAATTTTTGCTTGAGAAAAATCAACTTTTATGTGTCTTAATATATTATATATTTTTTACAAGGGACCCTCACAAAGTGCACAATAGCTACAGCATAGAGAAAATTATCCAAGCATCTTGACTCCCTTTGGATCACTTTCCACTCAAAAACTAAACCGGAAATAAAATAAATATAAATAATAAAATAATAAAACAAATTTTATTTTTTTTATTTTTCGATAAATTATCCAAGCATCTTGACTTTGAATCACTTTCGAACCAAAAACTAAACCAGAAATAAAATAAATATAAATAATAAAATAAATTTTTTAAAATAAGTTTTCCCTACGACAGGCATCGAAAAATAAAAAAAAATAAAATTTATTTTATAATTGTATTATTTATATTTATTTTATTTCCGGTTTAGTTTTTGGGTGGAATGTGATCCAAAGGGAGTCAAGATGCTTGGATAATTTTCTCTATACTGTAGCTATTGTGCACTTTGTGAGGGTCCCTTGTTAGTATTAAAAATGTTTTAAATAGAAATAGTTTCAAAGACAATTTATAAAAATCTATTCGTTTTTTAAATTCCCTACTCGATTATCATTTTTGAATTTAAAAATTTTTATGACTGAATTAAAGGTTATTTAAGGATGAATTCAATTATGAAAATTTTTAAATTATTAAAAGCAATAATGTACGTAGGTGTATTTTGCAAAATGTATAATATTTTTGAAAAATTTGTAAAATACACCTTTATAGGACGTTTATAAAATCATAAAACTTTTATTTAACGTATCTTTTTTCGTATATTTTACTGTTCTAATGTACATTACTACTAAAGATCGATTTTTTTCAAGGAACTTAAAAAGTATTTTACCTTCACACGAGCACTTATTAAAAATATGTCGTTTATTTTAATATATAGTACAACATATTCAAATCTTGTTAAAATTGGATAAGAGAAATTTTCAAACAAATATAAAACAAAATTTCTAAGGAAAATTTTTGAAGTTTCTATGTATTCTATATGTATAAGAAAAAAATGTTTAATGAAAATTTTATCTAATATTCAGTATTAAATATCATTTATTTTTTAATTTAAAAAATATATAAGTCTAACGGAGTCAAGGAATTTGCTATATAAGTAAAAATTCAAAGCTTCCCGTGTATTTCTTTAATATTTTTAACTTTTTCCATTATCGTGCTGCGCGTAAATTTCAGAAAATGTTCGCGTTATTATGGGCACGAAAGACTTTTATAGGTCCAGCATACACATAGAAGAAAGTAAAGTAATCTATTAAGTAAGAAGAAAATAATTTATTTGTCGTTTTTCTTGCTCGATATTGAGTATAAGAGGAACGTTTTACTACCAAAAATGCCTATTCCAGATGCATATGTAAACTAGGCACTTGGCGACGTGCAGGACGTTAATTGGAAGCGCGGCGGGAAAAAAACGATCGTACGAGTGCTCGCGCGACAAGCAAAATGAGAGAAGTCGAGTGCTCTTACAACGCGTCCCGCAAGGAAATTCGATTAAAATGATGATTTGTTAATCGAGTCCCAGTTTTAGATAAACCGGTAACTCTCCTCAAGGAAAACAGAGAGAAAACGACAGAGATTGAATAGAAAGTATATTCCACGTTCGGCGATAAATTTAAAAACTCATGAAAATATGAAAAAAATCGCATTTAGCTTTAGCAAATAATTATATCTAAAAGTAAAATGAATATAGAAACAAAAGTAAAATGGAACATCCCGTTTTCGTAGCTTAATTTGGCGCAGTTGCGACAGATTGTACACGAATCAGAAAAAAGAGGAGAAATAGAGATGAAGCAGAAAGAATGAGCCACGGTAGTTGATTGAACCATCATTATTCCATGGTACAATTAGCTGCTGCAAATACAAACAATATTTGTTACATAATACTGCGTTAAATTAAAATCATTATTTTTTCAGTTGAGCGTACGAAACGAATCGATAGCGAACGGAATTTATTGTTACAACGCATCTGGTTCAGTAATAATAATAATATAATAATAATAATAATAATAAATCAATTAATAACAAATCGCAGTATATAGTAACAAATCGATTAATGATATCAGTAATCTGCGAAATCAACGGGGAATTCAGTAATTCCGATTTTCGACGCTCAGAAACACCAAGAAATATAAGATTAATCGCGATAATTGGACGGCGTTATGCAATTGAATGAGTTAACTCCTCAAGTAGTGATTTTAATTAAATTAGTGTTTTGCGTAGCCGATTCACTTACGTATCTGATTTCTGAAGGCTTTCTGGGTTAACTCCAGTGTTTGCATAACAACGACCAATGCGCCACCGAAATACTACCCTCTCAATGACAAATCTAATATTTTAGCCAGTGGGCCTGTTTATAGTGACAATGACTTATTTGTTGGGCGATAACATTTGCTGAATATACTGAACCATTAGAAAGTGTAATAAATTTTATGAAAATATATGTATATTGCAATATCGCATTTATCACAATTATCCTATCGGTTACACTAATTGCATTTTAATTGTCGTAACTTGTCTTAAAATTAGTGCGTTTACAATCTCAAGATTTCGATTCATCAAGATCGTATCAGTATCAGTATCCGCTAGTAATTTTCGTTATTAATGTTAATAATAAAGCAAAAGTATCGTTAATAATGAAGTAGAGTTTGATGCGAGTAAAATGCGATTTATCGAGATTATCTCCCGCAGGCGGGATTCTCGGCGTCGTTCCATCGACGTCTCTGCAGAACGCATGTTTACCACCCCCGCCCGGGAAAAAAAAAGAGCAAGATGGTAGAGGAATAAAGAGAGAAAGAGAGACGGGGTTGAAAGCGAGGACAAGACCGAGAGGAAGAGAGAGAGAAAGAGAGAGAGAGAGAAGGGGAGTCGACATAAACACGAGGGGTTGCGAAAAGTGCCAACTAGGTTACCCGTAACAACCCTCGGTAGGACACGAATCGACATTGTACAAGTTCAGTCGTCAAACCTTACTCCGAGACGCGCGCACTTTTCCCCGTGTCGTCTCTCTCACCCTTGTCGCCCTCGCGTCATCGCACGAGGAACGGAGATGACGACGGGAGCGCGATAAAAGGGTTAAGTCTGATGTACTCACCCTTGGTGCGAGATGCGCCGGACAATAACAACGACGACTGGACAACGGCGGACGAGAGAAAGCAGACGATCACCAGTACCGGCACTTATTAGCACCACCACCAGCACCATCCACGCCGACGGGCGCCGACGGTGACGGTGCGGGTAACAACGGGGCGGGATTATAACCTTGCCGCGGTCCGCCGTGCGAGCGAGACCGGAGTTAACGTTTTCCGGTTGAGAGGAAGGCAGCCACGACGACGACGACGATGACGACGAGTACGTACGAGGCGTGAAAAGCGGGCGCGACGTGCAGTTCCTCTCTCTTTCTCTGTAACTCTCTTTTTCCCGGTCGGTCCCGACGACGATTTGAGATTCCGTAGGAAACGCACCGCGCAGGAGGAGCGCGTGCCGGAAGCCGAGGCGCCGAGGAGTCCACCGCGCGAGCGGCTCGCGGTTCCGCGGTTCGGTGTCCTCCGTGAGGGAGAGAGAAACGCTCTCGAGCGCCGCGACGCGCTCGTCGACGGCGACGACGGCGACGGCGACGACGACGGCGAGGAGCGCACGGCGAGTAGACGAGAACAGCCCTCTCTCGTTGCTACCACCACCGACACCGCCCTCGCGTCTCCACCGCCGCGGCATCGGGCGCGGCGGAAACGCGCCGTCGCGACGCCGCCTCGCGAGTACGCACGCGCCACGACGCCGGAGGTGGCCTCCTGGTCGCCGCATGTGTACACATACGTTTTCCTGCGCGCGGGTTAGGTCCACTTCGTACTGCGATAACAGCCGACAGGGTGCGACGGTTTACTCTTATACGCCTCAGATAAGGGATAGCCTACCCTATTTCGGGGGTAGGCCGCTGGGCACCGGGTATCTCTCGAAACTCGGAATTTCGAACCATCGCGACGTTGTATTTTTGCGTTCTTTGTAACCGCTACTGCCTGCGACAAATTTTGAAATCATTGGGAGATTTATTGTGGGCCTTTCACACCCTGTCTTTTCCAACCGACCTCCCTTAGAAATATGACCTGATATTAGTATAAATTGTTCCCATAGGAAACAGGCGGATTAGGAGAACGGAAATTTATTTTGCCGAATTTAATGAAAATGTATATGATTTAAATTAGAGATTAATTTAAAAGTTTCTCTTCTTTAGTTAATAATATATGTTGTACCCTTTTTACGTGACAATTAAAAAAAATTCTTCTATAAGACAAAATATTAAAAAATAAAATGAAATTTCTTATATACATGTCTTAAAGAACTCAATTATTTGAAACTAAACTATCAGAATAAACTAAACAATTAAAATAAAAAAGAACAAAAAGAAGTAAAAATTGTTAAACCAAATTCTCTCTCATTCTCTTTCTTCGTCAATGATTAGAAATTCATAACTTCATAATGTCTGATCTCTCAGTTTGTATATTTTAATGTCCAAATTAATATGTAAACTTGAAATTATTTTTTGGGAATCTGCTTATCGTGAAAATCAAATCTTCATTTAACTATAACTTTTATTAGTATTTCTGCAAATAATTGAAGAGAAAATTAAAGAGAAAAATTGAAAGAACAAAGAAAGTTCATATTTGTTTTATTCTTTCATATTAGCGGTCTTTCATAAAATTCTGTCTTTAGATAAGACAGAGTACCTCTCAAGATATGTCGTAAATTGTGAATTATCGTTGTACTATGAAAAATTGGTAATAAAGACATTCGCTATTTTAAAGAAACAGAAAATATTACATTAATTATATTACTAGAACGTTGACACGTTCGATTCTTACAACTCCTTTATAGTCATTGATGAAAGTATTATATATAAAAAATACAGTTGATACAAAATAAAAAACTGCATTTTACACATATCTAATGGTAGGCACCATTAGATTCACGAACTTTGTGAAACTTAATCTATCCGAAACAATTACTTGACGGATTAATCCGCGTCCGCATAAGTTCATAGATAATATTTCATACGCTTGACAATCTTAATATTCTTCATCTAATTTTTGCATCTCGAAGTTCGTTCTTACCCCAAGTTAAACCGAGAGGTGACTTGCCACCTGTCAAATCGTGCGATTAATCGAGCAAGTCTCGAAAAGCAGCGCACAATGAGACACTCACACGTACATATGTACGCAGACGCGGAATTTGCCGGATTTCTTTGTAACAGATGACATCGTTACCTTGTTTTCACGAATTCACGGTCCAATATTCTTCTCGTTAAATGAGGGCATGAGCGCTCGAGGGGTCGCGCGAAGAACCCTCCTCTCTCTCTTGCCAGACAATGCAGATTCAATTAAAAGTCCCCTCTCGATGTAAAAACTTTTCCAATCAAACTGATACGTGCTGGCGCGCCCTTTTTCGCCCGCAGGATTTTTTTCCCCGGGGCCAGGACCCTAACGCGATCGGATAGTAATTATGTCGGTATCAATTTAACAGTTTTCGACTTTCGTTCGCTTCGCTTCGCGGAATAATTGATGAAGAACCAACAGCACGAGATCTCCTTCGCCCAAAGCAGATCAGATGGAACGATGTTTATCGAACTTCCGCAGTTTCCTTTTCTCAATGTGAATTTTGTCGCAAAAGTAAGTAAGTTCTAGTTTAAGCGCGCTGAATTTGATGTAGCACTCGTCTATTAAATTTCTCTTTGAAAAGAATATTACGATGTATTCGACAATTATTATAAAACTTTTCCCGTTTTACATATTTTGCAACGTGTGCATTTATATATGTATTCGTTTGTTATATATTATTTCTGAATTATACAGTGTTATTGGAAATACGGAGCTATATCAGCTCGGGAGAACAATGTGAAGAGTCTTCCCCGCTGCGCGCTGACTGAGAGATAAAAAGGGAGTGGGAGATTTCACGATACCTAAAATCGATAATTCCGGACGGGCATTCTATGGGGCGTTGCGGCAAAACTACACGATGCATTTCCTCGGCCTCGTGTAAGCCAAGATGTACTTGGCTTCGTTCGCGCGTCCACGCTAAATGTGTGTCCACGCCTTTTAAAGACTGCAACTTTTCCCGCAAAAAGTTTCTTTCTTCCCCGAGCGAGGAACTTTTTCCGGAAATGTGCGGGAAGAAGCAGAATCGCGTTTCGGAGAGTATATCTCGCAGAGCGACGCGACGCAACGCCTTAGATCGCAACTCTCAAATTTTTCGCGATTGCCGGAAACGTTAACGAGATCGCGCCGCGACTTCACTTCACAGCGATTCGATGAATTTAATTTCAAAAATGTCAGAGAGCGCGCGACTTGAGTCGCGAGACCTCCGTACTTTTGCGCTTTTGACATTATGAGAGAGAGAAAGAGAGAGAGAGAAAGAAAAATTTCGCCTTGGCAAAATGCTTCCTTTTCATTTGTGATAGCGCCATTTTTTGCGCGAGGTCTTGCTCTTTCTCTTTTCCTCACGCCTACTGCCGCTTTAATGTCCATGGTCCCTGGGTTCGTTTCCACGGCAGCCCGCGGCGATGGATCAAACTGTTTAACTCGCTCGAAAGGTTTGCGGAGCTACAGAGTTCGGACGGTTTTCTTCTTTTTCTTTCTTCGCGGAGTACAGTGTGTCGGGATCGATGTGATGCCTGCGCGTCCGACGATGTGCTAATTAGCTCGCGAAAAAAATGTCTGCTTATTTGTGTGAAAGTCTGTCTTTATACAATAACGTATGTGAATAGTATACTTTTAATGTTCATGATTGAATGGTGTTCTTCTTATTGTCATATATACATATATGCAAGAAGCAGTATAATTATATTGTTTTAAAATACTAAGGACATAATACTGCCAGTTTTCAATTCAATGCAATTCATTTTTTATCGAATTAAAAAATATAGGAATATTATTAATAAATCGTAAACTATACAGAATGAATCACGTTACAAGTTAATATTTTAGGAATTATTCTAAAAAATTTTAACAGTGATACATTAATTTATGTAAATTGCTCGGATTTTTAAAATTAAGGATATTTTTATATTTTATTTGAGAAGTGTAGTATGTTTAATCACATCTGTTATACAATTATATAAAATAACATGTACTAAAAAAAATTTTCAAGATAATCTTAAAATGTGAAAAAATTTTAACACCATTTTCAAAAATTACAGGTGCATTAAAAAAATTATGAACTCCTTCTTTCTCATCAAATCGACATCGATAATTTTTCCATTATCTTTGATTGAAAATATTAATAAAATACTAATCTATAACAAATTACGTAACTCACTTTGTCATATTGATAAAAAAAACGTTATATAAATTGCATTAAAATAGCTATTCATTGAAGTTAATGGTCATTTGCTAATTTATTTTATTTTCTTTTGCTCTTCCATTATTGATTTTCGATAATATATATTTCGCAAAAAGTCAATTTGGGAAATTAAATACATAAAACATAAATCGCCTCTTGTTAATCGATCGTTCCGAGCGCATCTATCCTGCACCTGTTTCCTCTGAAAAGATGGTTGGTATTCCGGCTGTGCCGGTTGATGTTGCTCGGAATTTAAGGAAGCAACGGGGAAACCATCTCGAAGTCGAGTTGAATCTACATAGGAACGCGTAATAAATTGGCTAATATCAGACAGACGTAGACGTAGACTGACACGGCGTATCTATCAAGCGAATACGTTTAACATTAAATTTGTCGACGTTGAACATAAAACGCATATATAAGTGTTTGCACAAAGGTGCATGCATCTTACTCCGTCATGTGAAATATTCTTTACAACGTGAGACATCGCATCCTTGCTTCAAAAGTTGCACAACTAAAAAAAAGTGATTTTCGAGTTATTACGATAAATGTTAGTATTTCATCCTCCTCAATCATCAAAAATTTAAAAGTTAATTTATTTGAATTGTATCACTTTTCTCAAGCCAGAATGCGATATGTGAATCTGTCATTCTTGCGCAGTTTTTGTCATCAATTTCGAAATTCTTTTGCACTTCAGTTCCACTTTTGAATTGTATATACAAATTTGCTAATAAAAACAGCTATGTTTGCGACGATCAACAGCGAACGAAAGACCGAAGTGATTCGTTATAGAACAAAAAAAAAAGATGGAAGCGTCGATTGAATCGAAAAGCCCCGCGGGATTTTCGCCGGCGATGCGTGGGGCTGTCCTGGAAATCCTGGAGGAATGCACGGACTCATTGGCCGTTTACCAGAACATCTTACGACAACAATCGACGACGAGGAACGACGCCACTAATATTTTCCCCAATGTTGAGTACGTCGTGCGGATATAGCGGTAATAAAACGCGACTACATTATGACGCGTCTCTTTGTACATTCATCCGCAGGATTTCGGAAACGTCTATTCTGCAAACGCTCATCGGAGGCGCCGCGGAGATGACGGATTCACGGAGGGAAGCTGCGCGTGAAAAGCTGCGTCGAGACAGGTTGGAATGTCCGTTTAGTCCGTCCGTAAGCCTGTCTGAAAGACCGACACATTTGTGGCAGTGGCGGCATCGGTCTATTATAGACTGCGATTACAATAGAGCCTTAAAACGAAATTAATTACATAATTAATAATAATAAATTAACGTCTGTTTTCTAAAGAAATAAAAATATAGGCGACGAGCAAATTCTTCTTTCACATTTGTATCACATCCTGTAGTATCGAATTTAAATCGTGTAAGCATTTAAAATATTACGGTAATAACGGTTACCATTTTTGATTATTCTTTATGTATCGCGTTTCAGATAATCATCGCGCTCTCGTGTAATTAAACGTAATTCTGCGCGTTTTCGTTATTTAAATATGGACCTATTTTTATATTTGGAACGTCCATTTGTTTTGATTAATAAAACATTTCAATGTGTTAGTGATTGTCTTAATTATCATGAAATACAAATGTAATAAAGTTTCTGTAATATTGTGAGAAAATTCTTGAAATATTTCGATCCGCTACCGTTAATCAGTACTGTTAATCGCTGATCTAATAAGTAAATTTGATTATAAATAATCACATTTTGATATTAATTCTTTTATATCTGATTTTTTTTAGAAAAAGAAGATATCAAATTTAATTATTTTTAAAGATAATTGAATGTAAAAATGGAATCTAAATATAATTAAAAAAAAAAAAATCTAACATCACGCATGCAAACAGTAAAATACTTGTATAGAATCTAATAGAAGTTTGTATCAAAACGTTTACAAGTTTAAATTAAATTTATAACATAAAATGTACATTAACAAAAACTACGTAGTAAGCTTAAAAGTTTTTGCATTTAATTTATGTATATCTATTGTTACACATCCACTATATTGATTAATAGCTGCATCGTCATGTTTCTTTATCATTAAAATGAAGACATACACACACTCGTGAATTTTATGCCTTATATAATATAAATAGTTAAAAATACACGTCACATTAGAAAGCTTCAGAAATTGTTACAACACAAAAGTGAACGAAAGTTGAATACTGCACACTATGTCAAATCTTTTATGGTAGTTTGATTAATTTCATATCATTTTGCTACGCAAATAATTTTTTATATTTTAATATAGTATTTATTAAAGAGCATTATGTTTGGTAGGTTTAAGCTTTTTTAAATTATCTATATTTGCTTTCATTATTATATTCAATAATTTTTAATGCTGTGATTTTTTAAATGCTAGAATCTATATATACAGGATATTTCTTAACAGTGATGAAACTCATTACTAATGAACAAGAGACGCAAAGATAATGATCAAAGTTTATATAAACATGTGCCCCATTTAACTTAGTTTCCGAGTTATAGTCATATTTGTATTCTAATAATATGGAACTGCTTGCCTTTATACGAAGTACTCAAAATAATTACCTTCGGCTTGAATGCAAGCATGCAGTCATCGGCGTGTAGATTGTCGCACATTAAAAAAAATATACCGTTTGTCGAATTTGTTGGCAGCCTTTTTGTATCTGTATGTTGACAAAGTATTTCAATATTGTCAATGAAACGGGAATAAACAATTGTTTTCAAGTGTCCCTACAAATAAAAATCTAATGGATTTAAGTCCGGGGAACGCCAGCCAATAGGTCCTGCACGACCTATCTATTTGTTAGGAAATCGTTTATTCAAGAAATTGCTGCCAACAAATCCGACGAACACCCGATATTTTTGAAAATGTGTGACAATCTACACGTCGACGACTGCATGCTTGCATTCAGACCGAAGGTCTGGTTATTTTGGAGCGCTTCTTGTAAAGATAAGCAGCTCCACATTACTGGATATACAAATATCACTGTAACTCGGAAACAAAGCCAAATAAGGCACATGTTTACATGAACTTTCATCATTGTCTTTTATCATTGTCTTCACCAGTGAATGGATTCCACATGTTAGGAAACACTCTGTATTTGCTACTGGATGTACAAGAATTAAGAGACATCGTTTACGTTGCAGTTTATACGTGAGCAATATAATACGAGACTTGAAGCGGGAAATTAGCGAACATGGAACAATCGACGTGTTAATTAAAGAAATCGAAAAGATTACGTCCCAGGAAGGACAGGAGCATCATTTAATAGAAAAGAACGAGAGGATGCAGAGGATCGTGGCGGAGTTACGAAAATCAATTGCCGATAGAAAAACAGCGAATGAGAAGGAGAAGGAGCGTTTAACGAAGAAGCTCACTTTGACACGGGTAAGTGTTCCGCAAGCCGCGGATGGTTTACAAATATACGTAACGACGCAACGGCGATAAATCACACCAAATTTTACTGTTTAACCGTTTATTCGTTGTGTGCGTGAGTAGAACTAACGTTGAAACGAAATTTGTTGGCAAAATGTTTAGGACGAGAAGGAGAGGCTGAAACTAATTAAGGACGTGGAGATGAAATATGTCCGAGTGTGGGAAGCGGCACGTCGGGAGCAGTACGTACTGCGTTACGAGTCGGAGATGGACGAATTGAAAAAGACTTTGAACGATCATTGCGTGCGCGAGAGAAACGAAAGTCACGTGAATGATGTATTGACGCGTTATCTGACGCGGCGTATAGCGGTGAGCGCGCGGCGAACTCCTTTTCTCGACTTTTTTCCTCGCTTAAAACGAACAAAAATGTCTCATAGACTGCTCGTACTTAAACACTTAAGACTTAAAAGAGTCCGTCATTAAAATTAAGGCGGGACGCTTAAGCGATCCCGTAAGTCCTTCAGCGAAAAAGCTTAAAAGGCTGCTGAAAAATGTACTTTGAGATCGGAGCTTTTTATGACCTTTCCCCTCTCCCCCTCTCCAGCGGATATGTTAAACACGAATTTGACGTTTCCCGCTAAATGTCGAGTCACGGGCACTTGGAAGGATAACAAAAATATTTACTTTGAATTTACAGCTCGTCGAGAATCGGATCGAGCAATGGCGGCAGAGGTACGATCGGGAGAAGGAAATGTATGAGAAGGAGATCCGCAAAGTACGCGATGAGATCGAAGACGCTCGGAAATACTTGGAGGAGCTTACAACGGAGGTAATGATTCGAAAACTGTGCGACAGTGCGAGAAATATTTTCATTTCATTCCCGCGGCAGGGACGCGGCGTAGCGCAATAACTCGATTTGCATTTCCCGCGCCGCGCATTACTCTGACCGCCGCTACTGTGAATCTTAATTGTCGGATAAGGAGAGAGAGCTCCCATGGAGCCGGCGCAACAAGCACAATCATCTCTATCTTATTTCGCATTCTCTGTGCGACGTCTGATTTATACTACGTCACGTTTCGTCTATTGGCAATCAAGCTCGGATAAGCCCTGCTTGGCCCGGGTTATAAGTTTAAAGGGCGCGCCGGGAAGTTTTGCCGGGTAATCGATAATTCGCGTCAAGAACGTGTCCGCCGAGACTCAGAAATGTCTCGCGATGATCATTATTAATAGCCAAAATCTCCTCGAATTCTAGGCTCCCTAGGAAGCCTTTCACGTGTTTCGGACCGGTTTACATTTAAGCGAGAACTAAATCATTGACCCGAAATTTGCAGATTAATTTCCCTCAGTTTAGGTATATTTATTAGGATATGTGGTGAAATTCATAATGCGAACAAAGGCTCAGACATGCAGAAGTTATTTTCCATATCTTCGAATTGTCTTTAAACGAGGATTCACGTTTTTTTTTAGTTTTATATCACGAATTATAATTGTTGCATATCAACTTCTGTTAACAGAGTATATTAATAGAGATTAACATTGTTACTAAATTAATATAAAATAACTCTCATGATAATTTTGCAGAGCTTTTCTCTTTAAATTACGAATTTCTCCACAAATCTCGGGAATTTTAATCACTGACAAAAAAATCAGATTATTTAAATGATATTAAGTGCTTAAACACTCTGCAATAAAATTTGTTCCGAATATAAGATACTCGATTTTCTGAACAGCAGAATTGTTCAGTTTAATCCCTTGCCTTTCAATCAAACGTCCATATATAATAACGAATGAAATTGAACCTTTCCTTACTGCTTACGAAGATACACGATCGCATAAAGCCCCCGTGGATCTCGTATAAGGCACACACTTATTTCCGAGAAAGACAACCCGAGGTTATCCGGGATAAAATATATCGATAAAATCGCGTTGAAACTGGATAGGGGTGGTGTTTGTTGCAGTATCGCGATAACCAGGAATTCATCGACACGTACCTCGCGGAGCAGGAGGCGCTCCGACGACAAAAGGAGCACGAGGATCATGTGCAGCGCAGCGCAATCAAGATGCAAGCCTGGTGGCGGGGCGTCATGGTGCGCCGGAAGCTGGGGCCGTATCGACCTGAGGAAAAAAAGAAAAAGAGGCCTGTTAAAACAAAGAAATAAAACTCCCTCTTCCCTTACTCGATCGCGTTACTCTTAAAACATTATATACTGCGTCGACTTTGAATTCCTTCGAATTTGACCCGGCGAACGACTATTAATCTATCAGCGATCTAACTGAGAGACCACAGCTGCTTAATTGATTTATTACCGTGCCCCAGTAATTTTCATCTCGAAACGCGCGCGGCCACGGGCGAACGTCGAGAGAATTACGCGTTGAAATTTTATTTTTACTCGCGTTCGCCCAATTCATCAGATTTGAGAGGAATCAGAGGGGGTGTGCAGAGGCGATTTCGTTTGCAAGTTATTTACCTTCCCTCGTAGAGAAAATATTGATTCTACTTATCGGAACTAGATTAGCAAGCAACGGAAGGGGCAATATATTTTTATCTTATTTTCCTTCCGTTCACTTTGGTATAATTCTCGACGAGGAACGACAAACGAACGCTGCAAGGCCAATTCGAGAAGGTACGAAAATCGCGAGAATCGTGGCGAAGCGTCGTGGAATCAGCGCGGCGCGTTACGAGAGTGAAGCGCAGATTCCACGAATCACCGAATGCCAATTCGTGCCCCCTTCGTGCGATGTAAAATATATACATGCCCACCCGTATACGTACTATACCTACACCGAGCGCGGCACTCGGGTCGAGTATTGTTCACGCAAGAATCTCATTTCCCGTGCAGTACTTCCTGGATCCTGCGGCTAGTTTCTGAAACACCACATGAAACGCGCGGGGCGTAATAATCGACGCGGCTGCCTATAACGCGGGCACGAACGCGAACGCGCGCCACGCACGTGTCTACGCGTAAAGCGTGGTTTGCACGTCGCATTGGTTTTTTATTTTTTATTTTTTTTTTACTCGTTGTTTGTAGAGGCGCGTGAAAAAAAGTAGCCACAGAAAAAACTATTTTGTACGCAAAGTGTCCTATATATAGTCTGACGCATTGTTTCTTAATGACGTTTGATCAGTTTGGAACCGATCTCGTTTCAGCGAAAATATCGAAAGAGACCCTTGCTTGCAGCAACTTTTCAATCTTTAGGTAATGTCCTACATTTTCTTCGATTAAAACTTGAAATCAGAATTTTATTAAGATAAATTTTACTTGTAAAGTTTAACCGACGAGTTATTTTGCAATCCATTTGACTTCCTGAAGTTTAGTATGCAAAAGAAATCTCTTTTTCGCTCATTTTCAGTGCTTCGACATTTTCGCAAAGCAAAATCGTCTCCAAAGAATCTGTCGTTAAAAGAATAACGTGCGAGAAGTGGGACACTCTATATACACTGCTAATATAAAAATATTTTAGAACGGGACACGTATTACTAGCGCCAACATATCACACATACGTACGTGTCGATCATAAAGTGTTCGTATTTTTGTTTCATTACGACGCGGCTAGTCGGGAAAATTTGTCACAACTATATTATACAGCGAGTATTAAACAATTTTTAAAAAATAATTTTTATGCTCAATAATCTGTAACGTCTAATATAGCTCATGTATTCTTCGGAGAAATGTATCCTCGTAAATATCTTTTCACGAATTCATAAAATTCGGTATGAATTTTGAAATTTATCCTGTCTGCTTACTGATTACTGAAAATGGTCTGACCGCATCACTTGTACATCACTTTTTGCGAGAGGATTTTAGCAGACACACGGTGCAGTAGGTACTAGCAGCTAATAAACTTTGAATATTTTAACTCGATTAGCGTGCTTAGCTCGCGATGAGAAAGGCAAACTAGTTTAGCAACGTTCTAAAGTACACCATGCATTTTTACTTTACTATAGTAACACCGTGCTAGTATATCAGTCGTCAAAAAAGCATCGTGTAAACTGCACTTGAGAAACACGCCGTTGCATCGCGACTCGTATATAAATGTAGGATGAACGTAGTACGTGTAATGGCACGTATATAAGTATAGCACTTAATTCCGACATAAAAATCATAATTTTGGTTATTTTCTCTTTTTATACGCTTTTATAATGCGGACGGTCCTTCGCGGTGCAGAGGCAGATAAATCTATCGATCCCAACTCGCGATCCCGAACGTAAAATAGAAATACATGTAACTGTAGGTAGTTAAAACCGATGTGACCAGACATTCACGGGAGAATCCGACGATATTAAAACGTAAACGTCAGATATCATATGTATATACATGTGTATGTATGCATCTATGTATACATATCTCGTAGATTGAAAAACTCTTCCTCGCTAAGAAATTAATGAAAAACGTGTCGATTGAAGAGCATTTTCATGAATATAAGAAAGCAAGAGTTATATCATTCTACACATCGGATGAATCGCGCGTTACGTTCCCTTTTCATAAGGCAATCTTTTAGCGAGAATGAAAAACCGTTGATCCGTATTCGAGCGATTTTTCGGTACGTTCGCGTCTTAAATAAAACATATAACGCAGAAATCGATCGATCGTCGCCCTCTGCCACACTTCGCGCCATACGCGCGCCTCTGGGCAGTTTTATTTTTATGGGACAGTTTACCGGGAAGGCTCCCGCGGAGAGAAGAAGAGGGCGAGGGGGAAGGAGGATGCGGGGCAGAGAAAGGGAAGTTCGAAAATTTAAGGCGACAGGGACGTATGAAGTGAAAGTGGTCCCTATGCGACCGTTGTTACCCCGTCGTCGCGGGGAAAAGCTCGGAACCGCCGTATATGCCGTTGTGCATTTTCCCTCGTGAGAAATTCACGAGGCTGCCCACCAACCGTATACACCACGCGTCCCCAACCCGCCGACTCCGGCAAAACGAAAGCATGCAAGCTTACGCCCGGCGTGATCGTGCGGCCAGCCACCTCCTTAGATTACGATATAAGGAATGGGTAACGCGATGTGGCGGTGCACGCACGTGATAGCGCGCCCCGCTGTATATGCAATTGCCTCGCTGACCCAGCTTTCGCGTACATCGATAAGATGCGCTTAAAATGAGGCTGCCCGAGAAACATATTGCCCGCGGAGACCCACGGGCAAAATTCTATGATATACAACGCTGCGTATTTCCAACATTTCGGTAAGTATTGTACCACGTGTTGTATATGAAAAACAAGGAATGGCTGATAAAAGAGTCAATGCACGCTTGATAGAACGCAAACAAATTTATCCAATTGTGAATTAATCGATGTGAATTAATAGAGTTATCCAATTACCGGATAACTCTATTAATATTAAATCCCACATCTCCAAAATTGGAATCATTCTCAGCAAATAAAGTAATAAAATCGATAAAAAAAGGTACACAAGTTAAATCAAATAAAAATTCTCTTTTTTACGTATAATGATGTGCTACGTAAAACAATTTCGAAACAAATGAGAGCAAATCATTTTTTAGCAAGTAATAATTCTTATTGTCCATTTTTTAATTTATTGATCGTACATCTTAGAGCTTTTACATTCTTAATTTTTTAGCAATAGCGTAAGTATATTATTTTAATAATAATTTTATAAAATTATTATTTTTTACTATATTTCTTTTAATTTTTATTATTTTTTAGTTAAAATAATAATTTGAATTTATTAATATTATAACAGTTTCAAACTAAAAGGAGGCATGAAACTTAAGGAATTTCATATTGCAAAAAGACGCATATAAAGTGCAGATATTATTTTTGAAATGATAAGAATACAAATATGACAAGTTTTTAATATTTCTTATATCCTTGTGTTTTAGCATGGCTCACTAGATTAGATACTGATCAGGCATTCAGACAATCCCCTCGAATCTGTGTGAGAGACTCCGTTTATCAGTGATTGGCAGAATGTGCAGAGTGAACCGCGCTTCGATAATCAGATGGAAATACCGAACTCTGGATGTATTCGCTTGATTAAAGCATATCGATGCGCTGCATCGAGTAAATAGACTGGACATTGCTGAGGTATTTGGTAAAACTTTGTTCATAAATCGGAAATTAGATCAATTTCTTGTCTTAACACAAACGCGATTTTAAGATTTCAATTATAAATCATTTTAAGATTTCAGAATAAATCAATTTTTATGTTGATCTTTTGATAAATATTAAAAATTCTTAAATATTATACATACTCATTGCATGGTAAAACAACTTAGAGTTTTTATTTATCAAAAGTTTGATTTTTCGCAAATAACCTAAATTAGTTTTATAAAGTTATATATCTTATATAAAATGTATAATTTTAATATCTCACGACTTACAATTAGTGAAAATCGATCAAAGCCTGTTGAATTCTAAAATCTGCGGATGTTTCTCCATGTAAAAATTTAAGAATAAGAATGCACGTACTGCAAAATAAAAACTGAAAAGCATACAGCCGTCAGCCACGAATATATCTATAGATGCCCATTGCCCACATACATAAACTCGGTCGACAAGAGAGACTACAGAGACCTCTCTCGGAATGGCCATAAATTATAGATTTTTTTCAATGTCTTTTACCACGCAATGTAAATAGTACACATTATACTGTATGACATTTATCAGCAGAATTATGTGCAATGCGCTGATTATAAGGAATAATTTGGAAAAAAGAATTAAAATAAAAAGTTAACTAATAAGCAATATATAAACTAGTTAAAAGTCGCAATAAATTTGGCAACAAGTCCATATCTCATTCTTTTTACATTTTAAAAGCCAGATTGTAAAATCTGACTTTGTAGCACGCATTCTAAAGTATATAAAATAGTCCTTACTGTATATAATTTTTTAAATTTATTTTAATTTATTAGTTAAAAAATTTAACTATAGGAAATATAATATTACTTTCCCATAATATTGGATTCAAAAAAATATCATTACTCTGCACTATTATACATTGCAACCAATGTGCTACATTACGTTATCTTTTTATTTTGATTAAAAAAATTAAATATTTTGTGAATCTGGAAACGTATATACATATATGTGTTATTCGACAAATTAATACATTAATTTTTTTTTCATTTGCTCCAGTCACCATTTCAGATTTTTTACATTTAGATATTATTTTTATATTTAATGAAAAGCGCGATGCAATAATGTCATTAGAATTTGAAAATATTTTTACTTTACAGTTTACATCGTATATTTCTTGGGACAAGCTATTCAAACGTATACCTATTCTCTGAATGACGTTCAATATCCAATAGGAGAATTGATTTTCTAGGGACTCCTAGCTACGTCTCTCGCTCCCTAGAAAATGGAATTATCCTATTGGATGCCGATGGTCGCGTGAAGTCGGACGACGGACGCATCTAAATTCCTCATGACATCCATGACTGGCCCGTAACGCGGGGCGAAGGGGGCACCACGCGTGCGGGGGCGATCTTCGTGGCATCGTCGCACACATGGAAAACGCTTTTACCACCTGAGCCGGACGGCGCTAGGAATGGCGCCAATGCGCCGCCATTTTCATGAAACTTTACCGTGACCGTAAATCGCGAAGACTGTGACGGGGAAGAATTCCAGGGAACGTCGCGCGCTCGGTGGACCCTCGGGAAAATCGCGAGAACGGCGAGAATAATGCGCTGGTCGTAAGTATGACATCCCGGCGTCCGATTCCGCGATCGGCTAGTTTTTTTACGGGCACGTAACACGGGGCCTATGGCATGGGACTTCCGTTCGATGAAACAGGAACAGGAAGTTCCTCGCGCGCGACCCCGAGACGGCGAAATAAAAACATCCTGTGGTGCGAAGATTCCGAGAGAAATAAACGCGTGACGCGCACGCGACACGCCGCGGGGACGCGAATCGAGCGTGTCAGGCCGCACGTGTGCCTCCTCCGTCGGCGAGCTCGTTACTTTTACGGCCCACTTTCGGATTCCGCTGACCCCAAGGTCGAACGGCAGTGATTAACGCACGAAAATTAGTCGCTCGCAGCTCGATCCCAATCGTACGGAAAAAAATCCACGGGTGATCGTCCGTCACAGTTATGGATAATATGATTTTAGAGCCTGCTTGCACGAAGGGGACTGAGCTGGATATTCAAGAATGCAATCTATGCAGGAAAGCATATGTGCCAACGATATCGAGGGTCTGGACGCGGATACTCTCATACCTGTAAGTATCTCTCTTGCGTCACAAAGGTGTACGTACGAAGAATGCGCTATCTAATCTCATATGAAGCTATCTAATGTAATAGTCTAATGGTCTAAGTTAATGTCTTGGGCTGCGTTTCACTTAACGCTAGCGACGCTCGCGAACATTATTTGTCCTTGTAACGTACAATAAATAACAAGGACAAAATAATTTCAAGAGCGTTGCGAGCTCTGAGGGGAATGCAGCCTTAATGGCCATACGCTGCTGTCACATTTCATTGTTGTCAGGTGGAACTTCTGGCTTGCGATGTCTCCTCTCACTCGAGACCGCAAGATGCTTCGACTATGGTGGAACTTGGAAAACAGCTCCTACATAGTGCAAAAAATGGTGACACTGAGGCTGTTCGTGAGCTCATGTGTAGGGGCGCACCATTTACTACAGATTGGGTATGTGTGTTTTAGCATTTACAAGGTATTTTTGCACTTTGATATATTCTATCTGAATGTACATTGCTGTAACGTGCGACGCTTGTCGTTTAGCTTGGTACAAGTGCGCTCCATCTCGCCGCACAGAACAATCACTTAGAGACTGCTGAGGTTTTGCTTAGAGCTGGCATATCAAGGGACGCTAGGACAAAAGTCGACAGAACTCCGTTACACATGGCAGCGTACGAAGGCCATCATCAGATGGTGCAGTTGCTGCTTAACTATGGAGCGGACGTCAACAGCAGAGACATGGTACAATATCAAAATATGGATTTATTGACTGAATTTTGTGCATGATTAACGTGAAAGGGACTAACATAAAGAATTATTTTAGCTAAAGATGACTCCGCTGCACTGGGCAGTGGAACGTGAGCAAGTGGATGTAATGCATATTTTACTGGATCATGGAGCTGATACGAATGCAATTAGTAAATTTGAGAAAACTCCATTCAGTCTTGCATTAGAGCATGATAGGTTAGAGCTTATCGATGTATTGAGGAAAGAAAGAGTGCTAATAGGTATTCAAGCTCATCAACAGAGTCAGGCTAATTCTGTAGAATTAGAAGTAGCCACGAATAATTTAGTACAATTAGAGGCGGAGAATAATAGCAAAAGTTCGATAATTCATGAAGAGGGACAAAAATTTGGAATACTACAGCAGCAGCAATCTCAACGAAAACGTAAAGTTTCGCAAGGTAAACGTCAACAATTTTTTCCATGCAAATGTTTTTTTATTTACTTTTAGACACCTTGAATTCTATTTTGAATATCTGTAATTTCTAGCTCAATTTGAGAAAAAACAGAAAATGATCTTTCAACAAATTTCTGTATCACCAAACAATACTGACGGCGAACAGGACAGAGAAATTGAAGATGTTGAGATGATTAATGTGAATAATATTATAAACAGTAAAAAACATAAAGACATTTTATCGATAGGCAAACAGTTTAGGTTATTAGAGGCACATGGAATCAGAATGATACCTGTGGATGAGGATTCGTCTATTGTAGAAAAGGCAATGGAAAGTGGGAGAACCGTAGTTTTAACAGGTCCGTTTTTGTTATACATTATACATTTGAAATTATTTAGAAGTTAATATCAGAATGTATTATTCTAAGATGATTTACAATGATTACAGAAGCTGGAAAAATTGCCTTAAATTTGACGAAAGGTTCGTCGATTAAACGCCTTCAAGTCGCTTCGCGGAAGGGATCATCGAGAAAAGTTATAGCAATTAGAGCAGACCAAATTCAATCAAAAATCTTAAATCCAAATTCTAACACGTCTACTACCACGTCGCGGAGTCCAAATATTTTGAAAAAGTCTCCTGATAACAAATCAACAAAGTTGTTGGTCACAACAGTTTCTAACACTCCAGCAACTACTGTCACCGAAATCAAGAATTCCATTTCGACAAAAGAAGTAAGATTACTTGCATATTTCATGTATGAAATTTGAACTAACAATAGATAGACAGGTACACAAGTACATTATTATATTTCAGAAAGTTGCGAGTTCTCCGATAAAGATTGCGGAATCAACAATTTTACAATTAGATGATGACATAGAAGAAATTACTGAAGAGGATAATCCAGAAAATAGCGAGCCAGTAACGGATATAGCGGTACTAAATAGACAATTAGCGGAAGCGCGGAGAGAAGCCGCCGAGTATCGTAAGCAATTGCAAGAAAAAGAGAAGGAAGCGGAAATATATAAACAACAACTCAAGAACATCACGGCGCAAATAGCATCTAAGTAATTTTGTACAGATATAGATTTCATATTCGGTTTCACAATTTGCAAATCGGATTTCTTCTTTTATATCAAAAAACTTTATAGCTTTGTTTTTTACATCGTATATATATATATATATTTTTACAATATACTATCGAGTAAGTAATCCAAAATCCTCTCAGTCCTCTTTTTTTTTTGTATCTGAATTTTGCTTCCACCGATATCCTAGATAACAATTATTAACACAATCATAAGTGTAAGAAACTGGAAGTTTCCCACTTACAAAATATTTGTTAATGATTACATAAATTTATTTCCTATTTTAATACTTGCGTGAGCTTGATTTCTTTTAGTATGTGCAAATATAAAAGAGAAATATATAAATTAAATATTTTAGTAAAATTGTGAACAAATTGCGGCCGGACACATGAATTTGAATGTGAATACATAAATCTTTTTGCTTTCCACATGATGTATCACAAATTTATCAAATTAATTTTATTCAATATTTTCCAGACAATTTGTATGATGAGACACTTTTGAACTTAAATTATCTTTATTATTTTAGAAAACATGTTTTAAATAAAATAGTTTTGTTTTGAGAGGGACATCTTGTAAATAGATAAAATCGTTTTTAAATTATAAGTATAAAAAATTGTAACGAATAACTTTGTTTATTTTTTCAAAAAATGTTTTTTTCTTTCTAACTATATAAATAGTTAACACGATAGATTTATTATAGAATTTAGGATATATATTTATTAAGATTTAAGATATATTAGATTAAAATTATTTCAATTATTCCGTAAAAGTTATAGCAATTATTCCAATTGCTATAACTTTTTTTCCTTTATTTTTTTCTATTTAAAATAAGAAAGATAATCTAAGTCGTAAAATTGTCTCACTATTGGATTTATGTATAAAACCAAAATTTTTCAAATAGATAAGTATTCTTTTTCTAAACTTTCACTTTGATTTAATAATCGCGTTTAGCAAAAGTCAGCGCTTAATAACCGCTTTATGCTGATTGAATTATACTTTTATATTTATAATGGAATAATCCTACAAAAAAAACTTCCAAGTTTTTGCAAAATAAATATTCTGTTGAATACTTCCAATCTCATTATTAATTATAAATAATTCTTTTTAAACGAACGTTATTAGAATGATTTATTTATTTAAGAAATGATAAAATCTTGATGTCTTGTTATCTTTATGTTGAAAGTCACATAATTCGTTTCAATACATATCTTAAATTCATCTGTAGATATTTATAAATGTTTGCGCAAGAATTTGTAAAGTATAGTAGTAATAAGTCTTGCTTCCTCTTTGTAACAAGTGTACATATAAATTAATTTTTTGCATAAAAGATAATTATAGGTGTAGCAATGATATAATTATAGGCAATTTTTCTTTGATTATCCATAATATTATTTAAATGGGAACGTTGATTGTCAAACGTTTAACATTTGACTTTCTTCATTCGACATGTTAGTCATTTCTTTCGTGCAGTATCAGTTATTAAATAGCGATAGAGAAGATGCGCCGAGCATAGCACAAAGATTATAGTGTCGTTGGAGTTTATATGTAAGCCATTTAGAATTTTATATACATATTGTACTTTCATATCTTTACCATAAATTATGTAGAAACATAATTTATGAGTTGTTACAGATTGTCAGACATCGAGATAAAAAATATAAAATGTCTTTGAAGTTGTTGAATCAAATACAAAGTCTATGTATAATGCATTTTCTAGAATCACTCTGAACATCGGGATAGTGTACCGATGGATACATGAATTCGCTTGCGCCTGTAAATATACGCATAATGTGGAAAGCAAATCAATTCGGCAAGAAGCCCCGTAATAGTGTGTAATTTTAAATGTGCTTAACATAATTTTGCATAGTTCACTCAACACTGACATCGCTTCACCTTAGCTTTATATGAAGCGTTTGCATTCCAAGTATTTCCTTAACATCTGCCTGGTAGCTACGATTTTTGACGATAAACCGATGAAGGTATGCGAATAAAAATTAAAATAGCATCTACCGTGTTTAGTCCGACACTAGAATATCTGACCAATTTAATCTAATCTAAAGATGTATCGAACGAGATGCGAAACAGGGGGGGGGGGGAGGGAGGGAAAGGATAAATGTACAACAAAAGGGTATGATACAGAAAGTGGTTGACCTCAGGTACAAAAAAAAATGCATTGTATAAAGCGCTAAAGTTGTGGAATGCAACGGTCTATACCTAGAATATAATTTTTGTAGAATAAGACTTTTCTAGCAATGTATATTGTAAATATAAAAATTTATACATAGTTAGAAAATATGGGTTCCTGAAACGAGTTATCTCATTCATCATAATTCCTTCAATCTTTTAATTCCAATTAATCCCGTGTAAGGCCGTGATCGAATCTGGGACCTGCTAACTATCGAGTTGAATTTACTCCTCGTGCACAGAGCCAAGCGTTCATTATAAATTTATATATAAAAGTCAATAAAAAATATTTACGAATTACGAGAGTTTCATTTCGGGGATAAAAGTTTTTCTGCGCAACAAAGATATAATGCCGTAATACGTTTGTTACAGAGTACATAATTGCAATGTGTAAATAGTGCGTTAAATAAGAAATAAAATGCACCTGAAAAATGTTTAAAATACATAAGCGGTTCAATTGAAAAGTATTGCAAGTGTCTAAAGAATGTATAATTGTGTCGCCTGGACACCTGCTGTAATAAAATTCGAGCTGAATGTTGCGGCAGATTGGCATCAACAACTACATCTGCACTATATATGTTAATGCTTTGTTAGTAAATTTTCAACAGAATCTCCTATCATTTCATAACTATTAAATGAGAAAATATATCATTTCAACAATCTACAAAACGACAAATTCAATTCAGTTTCCCTAGTCAATTTATGATATGGTATAGGTAACTGTTCCCATTAGTATGCTTTTATATTTAAATAAGTCATAAAAATAAACTGGTACAAATAAATAGACAGTGTTTTTTTTATTAAGTTAATACTTTAACTTAATAAAAAAAAATACTGTCTATTGTCAGTTTATTTTTATGAGTGTGCTTTTATTTTTAAATAAGTCACAAAAATAAACTGGTACAAATAGACAAAGTTTTTTTATTAAGTTAATACTTTAACTTAAAAAAAACACTATCTATTTATTACTTGTCAGTTTATTTTTATGATTTATTTAAATATAAAAGCACATTAATAGGGACAGTTACCCTATGGTATTCTATTTATATATATAGATTTTAAGAAATAAAAAAAATATATATTCTTCACAAAAATGAAAGAAAATACTTTGCAAAATCTTCTGTCTCCAATAGATTTGGCTAGATAGATTTCCTGGTTGCGCTTACAGGCCCATATATAAGATTTTTTTTCTACAAGAAATATCATCCATCATGCCACGTCCTCGCGGGAACGTTTCGATCGATTCGTGTCCAATAGCGGCGGCCTCTCGGGTGAGAGGCATCTCCAAAAACTCGATTTGTGCGTTATTAACGATCGCCCTTGTCCGCACATTTTTATCTTTTGTCTGCCGGTCTGCCGGTAGACCAAGAGTCTCGTTCCACGCCGCACTGGACGGGACGGCCCAACGGAGAAATTGCCTATTGTCGTCCGCGCGTGTCCGTGTAGATATACACTACACGCGGGCATTTTTGACAGCTCCGGCGCGCGGGATCGATCCGCGCGGCAGAAGATTCGTCGACGTCGCCACCGTGGGCACTTTCTACGCTTACCTGCACTTTTCCCTTTTTCCGCCTCTCTCTCGTCCTCGTCCGACGCGCCGTTGCGGCCGACAAGTCGCTCTCTCGAAAAGCGAGATGGAGCTACGCGAGTCTCGCTTAAGTGCAGGTAGTGTAGGACGAGTACGCATGTATGTATGTATTTACGCAGGGCGACATCTCGCCCGAGCTCGATGCTGCTGGGACCACGCGAAAATGAGAATGATCTCTATATATACGCTTGTCGCGCTCGCTGGCGCGAGACGCCAGTCCTACGCACGCCATGGATTCGATTCGCTCGACGCGGCCAAACCTCGGTCTCCGAACGGACGGCAATTTCCAGCGCTGACGGTAACGCCTCGCTCGCTCGCCTCTCCGCGACGTCGGGACTTTTCGCGCGATCGATCGAATCGTCGCGCCCATGGGCGTCCTCGGGATAATTCTCGGGGGTGGGCAACCGCGCCGCCGCGATCGATAAATAACTTAACCCATTGACACACACCTATGTCGCACACGCCGCGATTCTCTTCCCGGAGGCGGGATTTTCTCGAGAGGACGTAAACGACGATAAGGGGGAAAGAGGAGAGTCGCGATTACTTCCGACGATCGCGCGGCGCGAATTCAATTCGTTTTTCGGGCGCGTTCGATTTCCGACGTGGATACTCGGGCTCGGCGGGCGCGTTCTCCCGGCGCGCGCGGATCGATCGCGAAACTCGACCGATTGGCAACGCCACTGCACACACGCTCCTCGCTCGAAAACAAGGCGTCCGGCCCTTTTCAAGTCCAGTTTAAACGCGAGATCATCGAGTCTGTGGCGATTTTTACCAGGAAATCGGTATGATTTTGCAAAATTCGGTTTTCCAGACGTGAAAGGACACATGTGTTACAGTTCACGCGTCGATCACGTCGCGAGATAAAGAGAAGAGGCAGTTCGGATCGTTTCCGCTTTTTTTTTTTCCGTTTCCGCATTCCCGTCGAGTTTATATCTTGTAATTCCGCGTTTCGCACTTTTCCCGGATACAGAATGGAAACAAAGAGAGAACGTCCGCGATAACGATCTCGGCGTATTGCGTATAGCTGAATATATGATATATCGGACATAATCCGCCCGGAGGATTACGGAGCTTCTGTTTTGCGGCTAGCTTACTCGCTCTCGGAGCATTGTTGGAGGCTGATGCCGTGGCAGGCACGTATAGCATGAACTGCACACGAGCGGCGGCGGCGGTCTATACAGGATACAAATATATCACGAGCGAGCGTTGTACGTTATGCGTACAGCCGGCGGCTTTGGTCACTTGAAAGTCGCGATCGTCCTCTAAGAGTTAAATTTGAAAGAAGCGTGCGCTCTCGCGTGAGGTGATCAGGCCTCGGAGTCCTCCCTCTTTTTGTCGACAGGACTGTACGCAAATAGGACCCCGTGGACACCCCGCAATTATACTTTTTACGCAGGAATAGGATTATAAAGGTTGTTATATTTTATGACATTTTCAGAGAAAATATAATGTGGTATAACAAATTATGTAAAAAGTATATTTTCTTAATATTTCTGTTGTAAAAAATCTGGATTATAATTATATTATTTATTAATATAAAAACTGATGTTTATATACACATATACATTTATGCTAATCATACTAGGTATATAAAAACTATCTAACGATGCTGTAATCAGTCAGTTTTTGTTATGTTTCAAAATTATTATATTAATATACTAACTGTAATTTATTCTATAAATCTACATAAAAACAATTCAAATTGTTCAAATAAAATTTCTTTAGTAGAATTTTCATTATTTTCAATTATACATTAAAATATTCAAATAATTATATGGTGATCATTTTATAAAATATCAAAATGTAAATCATATTTTTGAATAATCCTAATTTCCAAAATCTCAATTCAGTATATACAAAATAACGAAAAATTAATAAAAATTTGATTATAAAATCTAGAAATTTATTAAAAAGTGTAATCAACAAAAACAACAATTTGAAATCCTTATTTTTTTAGTTGTATTTTCAGATTAAAAAAAAAAGATATCTGAATATTGAATTTAAAAAAAAAAACACAAAAAAAGAAATTAAAAGGATTAAGATGTTTTAATTTAGTAAATAATCTGTGAAGATTTAATGTTATATAAATTATAGGTGATAATTATAATTAGACACACTGCAAAGATAATATATTAATATTTTTTCAATAATGATTTAAAAATAAAAAATAATCGATATACACATACATACAATATAAAATAAATATATCGATTCTTGAGCACGTTATCTAATATTAACTTGTAAGTAATAAACAATTATAGTATAATATTTATTAATAATATTAATTAATATTTAATCGACAATTTGTCTGATATATGAAATGAAAAATTGTCATAACTCTTTTACAATTATTACGTTTGATTTATGTATTTATAAAGATTACTTTGCAGATAAAGGTCTCTATCATTTTGAGACCAATTACATAATTTAAATGCAGAATTCTATTATACACAGATGTGCAGGGACATCCGGCGATTTGGATACTGCCCTGCGACACGGTGCTCATGCTTTCTACGATGTCGCGAACTGCGCAGATACGTCATCGAGCGAGAGCGTCGTTCGGTGGAGCGAACGTGGGACACATGCAACTTACATTTTTAGCCCATAAGTTTTCGCGCTCTTTCCGAACGGTCCCCCAGTTTTCAGCAGTGACACACGTGAGCTTGTCGTGACAACGAAAATGATTCGTCGATCGGAGCCGAACGAACATCAGCTTCATGCGTGATTAGGAAGATAATTCAAAGACAGAGAGTAAAAGAGAGAGAGAATAAGAAGGATAGGGAAAGAGATATTCTCGTGGACGCGGCTTAAAGACTGCCAGGTACGATCAGGAGCGAATAGAATTGACCGAGAATCCTTGCGCTTGATGATATAAAGAAATGAATCACATGTGTTGTATATTTTCGTCTGCAGTCTTATAATAAATTTTAGATTAAATACTGTCAGTATAATATTGTCAGTTTAACTTTTCGATTTTATTTTATGAAAGTAAAATAATGAACATCTTGAGCATTTGAGATACTCTTGACTCCCATTCATTTATAGAAGTCTAAATATTCGTAGATATAAAGAAATATTTTCTGTAAGTAAAATATTAGATTTTATTTTTAATTTTGATTTTCTTCATACATGAATTTGATATAGAAAAACTAATGGATCTTTGATAAATTTTTCTTTACTAATACAAAGGAGAAAATTTTTCTGTAAGCTCGTCAAATCGAGTAAAAAAATGCAGCGATAATCGACTATTTTTTCAAAAATTTGTTAATCAGCTGCTTCGTGCGTATGCATACAAATAGATGTTTTATTTATTAATTAAATAATTCCACAATAAAAAAAAGTAATCATTTTGACACAGAATGAAGTTGAATTTCTTCTTTATTAAATAACTACTGATTATTTTTTCCGAATTTAATTCATTTGCGTTCGAAACTTGGCGATTTAAATTAATTTAATTAACTTGTGCAATTAACTTGATGTGTTAGGTAATATCTATAATATATTTTATTATATTTAATATATATTTTATATTAATATAAAATATAAATAAATAGAATTATTAATTAAGTTTCTGTTGTTACACTCGGTACGTATACAGAAATTTTGCCGTTAAAGAATAATTATTTCAATTGAATTAATCGTCGATTAAGTTAATACAAGCTTCGTCGATCACCCTAGGCATGTGTACTTTCCGCAACTGCCGTCCGGGGCGGGGGATACGGCCCTGGCGCTGTAATGCGTCCGTCGTTTAGGTTGAGAACCCCCGGAGTGTTTCCAATCCCGAAGGCGATGTCCAGTGCTGCGTTTCGTCGTCGTCGTGGTGGTCGTTTCTGCGCCGCTCGTGTGTACCCGGTGACTCGGCGATCGCGGCCGCGGCGTCACACGTACGTTCGTCTAGGACGCGAGCATCTCGGCCCGCGCAACTTCACGGCGGAACTATCTTGCGCTTGTACGCGTCGCACGCGGTGTTCGCCTCGGATCACGGATTACGTGCTCGATCCTTAACTAACGTCGTCGTCGTCGTCGACGACGACGTGCGTGCGTTCGTGCGTTCGTACATACGTAGATACGTGCGCGCGCTCTCGGCATCGACGAAGCGAGACCGTCGAGTGTGCGTGCGTGCGTGCGTGTGTGTTGCGAAAGAGGGACGGGAAAAACGGAAGGGCGAAGGGAAAGGAGACGGAGACAATGCGCGCGTAGAGCGTTATAGCGTGCGATGTGTTTGTGCCCGTGATTTATACAAAAAAAAAACAAGGTGCGAAAAGGAAGAAAGGAACGTTGGAGGAGGACGGAAATACTCCGATATAAAGAGCGCGGGAGAAAAAGAGAGAGAGAGAAAGAGAGAGTGAGAGAGACGGAGAGAGAAAGGCAGAAGCGGCGGCGCCGCTTCTTTTCTCGCTTGTCGTTCTCGAGGGAGGGCGGAGGAGAGAGAGTCCTCCGTCTCTCTCTTTCTTCCGAGCGTGTGGTTGCGATCCCTCCGCTTTCCTCCCCTCCCCCCTCCACCACCCTCTTATTCTCTCTCTTCCCCTCGCACTAGTGGCTGGCAGGTAGCGAGGTAGAGGAGGACGAGAGGCGCGCGCGAAGACACCGAGCGAGGCGAGTGAGGCGAGCGAGCGAGGGCGCGCACAACGGCGAGGTAGTGGAGGACGAGAGTGGCGAGGAAGCGGGAAGCGTCGGCGTCGAGACGCCCGGCGACCGACTACCTGCTGACGGTGCCGGTCCGATTAAACGTGTGTGTGTGTGTGTGTGTGCGCGCGCGCGCCCGGTTTGTCACGTTACGTTACTGCTGCTGCTGCTGCCTGGTGTTGTTGCTGCTGTTGACTGGTGGTGTTGACGTTATTGGCATTGGTGGATCGGTGGGCCGCTCGTGTGTGGGGAAAATGGGATACGCGGCGAGCCGTCGGGCCGTTTAACGTGATAGTGTGCGTCGCCTGCTTTGACGGCGGTGGCGACGACGGCGGTTGCAACGACGGCGACGACGACGGCGGTGGCGGCGGCGGCGGTGGCGGCGGCGGCGGCGGTGGTGGTGGTGGCGGTGGCGACGGGGCCCAACGGCGAGAAGCGGTCGGAAAAATGGCGTCCGATAACGAAGCCTCTTGCGCGAGTGACCCAAATTTCGCGGTGATCTGCTCGTTCCTCGGCTGCTTCGGCAAGTCCTGCGGCATCATCTATCCGGACATCGCTCGGCTCCAGGAGATGCTCGAGAACACGCAGGAAGGTGGGTCTCTGCTCCAGTCTCTATACGTCTATCTCTCTCTTTCTCACTCTCTCTAAGCTTGTGTGTACGTGCTCTCGTGCGCGGGAGAGATAGAGAGAAAGAGAGGGAGAGAGAGAGAGAAAGAGAGAGATAGACACGGCCGTGCCGTGTTGTATATGCGCGCGAGACGGCGAGGAGGGGGAGAGAGAGATGGAGCGTGCGAGGTGGTGCGCGGGAGGAAGCGAGAGGGAATGACAGCGACCCGCCCCCGCGAGAGGCCAGTCGTCTAAGCGCGTACTATTAGTTTCTTTCGTACGTCTCCGCTTTGACTCTGCGAGCCTCGTCCGTCCGTCCCTCCGTTGATTCGTTCCGGCGGAGGAGGCAGTCGCTCTCTCGCTTCCTTCGACGAGAGGAGCAAGAACGGCGGACAGCGGGACGGCGACCGGGCGACGGGCGGCCGTCACCGCCGCCGCCACCGCAGCCGCCGTCGCGGCCGCCGCCGCCGCCGCTGCTTTTTGTTTTGGTGTGTGCGAGCGGCTTGGCGGCGTGAGATATCGGTATAGGTAACTACAGGCCGCGTCCCCTCTGCGCGTCCCTCCCCCGCGCGTTCCGCGCGGTTTCGCGCCGACCTGAACGGCCTAATAACACGTTCCCTCCGCGAGGCGTTGCTATTGACAGATACCAGCCGCGAGATACGGGGGTTTCACGTTGTTGTTGTTCCGCCGCGTGCTGCCACCTTGTCAGCTTGTCGGTTACACGCGTTACACGTGATTACGAGTTTACAATTGACGCGCTACGCTGCTCCGCTCCGATTTCTGGGAAACGTCATTGATTGATTCTAAGCGCGTTCAGTGGAATCCGCCGATTGTCTTCTTAACTATAGAATGCGTAAACAAAGCAGTACTCGGCTTTTTGTCACATCATTCGAGTTTCCATTCACGATTTACGCTTTAGGCTCGAGTACGCTTTCTGTAGCACTCCGATTGAATTTAATTTGAAGAAATGTATTTTTTGGAAAATCAAATATTTCTCCACTCTATTTTGGCTTGAATATTATTTTAATAAGTATTGAAGATTTAAATAAATATTATATTTCCCAGGAAGGCTTCCGCATAAATTCATTGTCTATATTGGAGCAGTAAAATCTTGTAATTTCAATCTATTATATACCTTTGTATGTGTATGCACATACACACCAACATGCATACATATATATTATATATATTATCTCTTTTATTTCTTATAAATTTATATTTTTTTCTAGTGTCCCGAGAATTAATAGATCTGCACATCAAGTTGTTGCGAAAAACACGTAAAAGCGTGTCACCAGAAAAGTGGGAAAGGGCGCTAGTCAAGTTTTGCCACACGTACTCTAATCAAGATGGATGGGAACTTGAACGCTTCGGTTACAAGAAAGCTCGCATCGCTGTTAAACTGCGTTTACTTAAAGTATGAGTCGTATGATTTTTTTCTTCTTGTCTACATAGGACCAAATAGTTAATCTATCTTACGTCAAATATATTTATACTTTTTCTATTTTAGGTATTATTGGAAACACAATTTGACTTAAATCAAAAGTTTAAGAATGAAGTAAACAAATTGGCAGCTGACGAGTTGCGTGTGGAACCTTTAGGAAGGGACAAAAGTGGATTAGCGTACTGGTGTCAGTTGGATGAAGAGTGCAACATAAGAGTTTATAGGGAAGATTTAGATGAAGAGAATTGGGAATTAGTAGCTAAGTAAGTCAACTTACATACTTGATTAAATATTAATATGCTAAATTAGTACTTATGTTGTTATTTATCATTGTGCTTTACACTTGTCAATAGTGCATATTATGTTATTCGTAATAGGGACCGAGAGGGTGTTGTTAATCTCATAAGTACCCTGTCAAATGGCGAAATCGGAGCTATACCAATTAATGAGGATAGCAACAGCTTAGAAATCTCTGAGAAACCTATAATTGACACTGGACAAGTGACAACGTCTCCAAGCTTAGAAGACGAAATTGTGCAGGAAAACGGCGTTCACGTCGACGAAGAGATGAAGCAGCTACCAAACGGTAGAAGCGATGAGTTTGAGGATGAACGAGAACACGATCAAGATCAGGATCAGGATCAGGATCAGGATCAAGATCAAGATCGCGTTCAGAATATCACTAATGAAATTGAAAAAGAAGAGGAAGCTGATGAAGAATACATTGACGCGGATGAGGAGGATATGACGAATGATGAAAGTTCCAAACAGATTACGGAGGAAGACGACTCTCAAGAGACGATGCAAACTCCGAGCATAGAATCAAGGTGTACAAATGATTCGTCTTCATTATCGGCCACTAATTTAAAAACGCTAAACATGAAAGTGGACGCAACATCGGAAGATGCGGGCCACAGAGAGGCTACTGAAACGCCCGCTTCCGTGATATCAGAAAGCAGACCGTCAATAACGCATAAACAAATCAGTGTTACGAAAGCTGAAGTCGAAGAATCCGCACCGTTAAAGTCTATAGAAACGCCTGTTATTACTTTATCTCCATTGAAACTGGTGAATATTACGGAATTGAAACAGCCGCCAGAGGAAAAGTTGGCAAGTCCGACGTCTGTTATTGCGCCTTTAAACGCGGCAAAGAAATATGGTGCTCTCGACGAGATGACAGAGTCTGTCATGAAGTCTCTCGAGAAACTGCCTGGCAAAAACACCCTACCTTTCTCATCCACGGATTCCATTCCGGTGGGGCACAGCAAACTATCCGTCAAACCAATCGACCAATTGGCTGCAAATCTTGTGAGGATACAGTCGGAGAAATTGGAGAAGCCAAGTGGACCGAAATCGCTAGAGAAAATAGCAGAATCTCTAGCGAGGTCCAGCGGTATGCTGGGAAATATGGTAAACGGAGAGGATGATAGGCTGCCGCAGGACTTTTGCGCGAGAAATCAATCCGAAAAGTCGACGACGCACAGGAGTCACAGAGGCATAGATTTGTCGACGTCACCGCGTGGTTGGGAAAACGCAAACGAGCAGAACAGACCGGTGGATTTCTCTGGAATCGATCTCTCTAGTCGAAAATTGGGAAAAACAATGGATCTGCCTTCTCCTGGCTATAGGACACAAGATTTCCAGCATCGAGAAATGGATCTGAGCACGAAGAAGGTGAATAAACCGGAAGTATCGAATCTGTCATACGATGCACGCAATGTGATGCTACGTAATCATGTGATGGTGGCTGATTTGAGTAAGAGACAAATGCCGTTCACCGCGTACGAGACGCCATACCATAATACAGCTAGATTACCTGCCAAGGACGAGCACAGATTGCCAAGTTATGCGATACTTTCCGATCCCAGCAAGATCACGACGCTGAGGATGAACAACGCACCGTTGAAACGTCCCCTAGAGGATGACGATGTGCAGCAAGATATGCTGAAGAGGATAAGGGCGGATGTAATTCCAATCAGGGGTTCCATAGACAAGAGACCAATGATGAGTGGCAACTGGCGAGATGAGGTGAGCGAGGCTATCGAGGAGCCTATAATGATGGTTCAAGGCGAGGGATCTGGCAGCGACTGCGACGCAGTGAATCCCATTGTCGGAGAGGCTATAGAGGAACCGACGGCTTTTTTCTACGGCGAGGGTTCCGGCGCGGAGTGCGAGACGGGCAATCCCGGCGACGACGCGCCCACTGACAATAAAGAAAGCAACGAATCAAAAACTGAACCTGACTCAGCTACCACGGCGTTCTCGCAGAATAAGGTTTTAACCGAGGACAAGATATCCACGGGTTCGATACTGTCGAACAAAACCCCTGTAAAATTAAATAGAAACTATCCGCAGTCTAATGTAAGTGTAAACGATAATTATCAAATAGTAGATTCTATGCAAGAGAAGCCAAAGTTCAAACACACGTTAGGCGTCCAGGTAATACCTAAAAGTACAACCGGTCCTGTTAAAAGGTTGTCTAGATGGGACGTGGGAAAACCGGAAGAGAAAAAAGAATGTGACAGCAGTAGCATATCAAACGAAGGAGACATATCACTGAAGAAAAATACAGATGATCACGAGACAACACGTGACAACGTGGAAGAGAAGCTGCTGAATGCGGATGCTGAATCGGTGAAAACTGGATGCGAAAACGCAGGCACCGATGCGGATCAGGGCGTCAAGGTAGATGACCTTGTAAACGCAGGCAGTGAAACCATCGAAGATAGTGTTAAATTGCAAGTGTCCGATGTAAGTTCGGAAAATACAAGTACAATGAAAGAGGAAAGAGACTCTACGCTTCAAGAGCCCGTACAGTGCGACTCGTCGATATCGTCGTGTCAAGCGGACACTTCGCACGAACCCGAATCGTGTACAGATCCTGAACCTATGACAAATTTAACCAATGCGCAAAACCTGTCCGACTCGAGTAGCGTGGTTTCGCGGGAACCAGATACTCCGGAAGTAACGAATAACGAATGCAAGTCAGCAGCTGCATCTCCGCCGAGATTTTTTTTTGGTCCCAATTGCATCTCGTACACTTCGAAATCCGATGAATTGGGATCTCAGGCGGAGCAAAGCCTCGCCACGTCTGTGAACGATAAAACGGACACTGTGCAATATGAATGCGTGTCTTCGTCGAAGTCAGCGGATGATACAGCTTATTCGTACAAGACGGAAGATTTTGACTTGACGCAAACAAATAATAATTCGTTGAAATCGGATCTGTTTACTTCGGAGTCCGATAGCGTTTTATGCGGAAATAATAGTAAAGACGTAGAAAAAGTTGAAGCATCAAGTAACACGTGGGATCAAACGAAGGAAGAAGCTTCGATGCCCAATAGCTCGATAGATACAAACAGTGTTACCGAGTATAACGCTAATTCACCTCTCGCCGAAGTTATAGAAGCGAACAAAGAATCAAGTGTGCAAGAATCTGTTTGTGCTGATAAGGAAGTGGAAGAGGATGTCTGCTTAAAATTGCGTACAAGCCCTATGTCGGAGATAACTGGAAATGAAAGTATTAATGACATAAGTATGACTGAAGAAGATTCAATTAAAGTCAGTTCGAACAGCGAGCCCGATGTTCAAGCAGAAGGATGTGAGCTTGTCGAACCACCGCAATGCGATCAGTCTACCGAGTCTAAGAACCTTGTAAGTACAGAGACTCAAGAAGATTCTTTTAAAGGATCGAACGATGTCACATCGCAACTATTGGATGATAAAGAGAATAGAGATGAAAAACCATTAGCCGATAGCTCTAAAAGCGAAAACGACTATCAGTCGGATAGTACAAATGCCTTCAAGGAAGAGCAAAGCAGAATTGAATCCGAGACAACGGCGCATTCGTCTTTATCGCCACTTACGCAAAATTCGCAAGCAGAGCTGGCCGATCTCAGAGAATTCGAGGACGTTAACAACTCGAATGAACCATTGGATTCTACGAATGCGATGGAATCTGCGAATTACCAAGAAGTAAACAGGCTCGAGAAAATCGATTTGGACTCCATCGGAGAGAGTTGCGACAAGCAGAGTGACAAGAATGACAATTTCTCCGAAATCGATGGTCAGGAAGATCATTCGACCGACACGGACAACGAGAAGATGAAAGGTCTAGCCGGTTCCGACGCTGATTCGTTGTGCGTTAACTATGACAAGAATAGCGAAAGAACTGATGCGTTATCGGACGTAGGAACCCATGATGATGGATCAGGTGATTCTGAAGGAATTAAAGACAAAGGATTGAATGATGTGCAAGTTAACGATACTGTGTTCGGTATAGATTCCGAAACACATCTTCCCGAAAATTCTGCGGCGACTAGTTCGGAGTCTGTTCGAGAAAGTGATAAACACGATGTAGTTCCTACTATAAGCAGTTCAGACGATGCCTCTGCACAAGACTCTTCATCACAGGGGAGTGAACCTGTGCGAATAGATGATGAAAAAGTTGAAAACACTTCGTCTGATACTGATAAGCCTTCTACATTCAACATTTCGCCTGTCCCGGTGCCTGAAACGAATATCTTTGAACAGTCTAAATCCGATATTGTCGAAACCGTGAAAGAAACGAGCTCATCTAATTTGATTCAGTCTACAAGCGAGTACGACAATGCTTCTGAAAATCTCAGTTCTTGCGTTGATCAAAGTTCGAATGGTGAGATGGTTATAGATGATCGTGTATCTGAGTCGAATGAATCGTTTAAAGAAGCTGAGGAAATTGCAACGACCCGAGAGAACAAACAACCAGAAGATACAATGCCAAAAGTAGAAGATACAGTGCAAGAAGTATCAACAGAATTCGAGAAAAAAGCACCAGTTCTTACGAGTATTGAACATGAACCTTGTCAATTCGAAGCTGACTTAACAGTAACGGAAACTGAAATCTTAGAGAAAGAAAAATCTGAAGTCGATACAGAGAGCAAAATCGATTACGATCTTGAAGAGCTGACCGCAAAAGATGAGAGTGAAATTTGTAACATCGATAAACAAGATACAACGATTGCGGAGGATGTGTGTAAAATTAATAAAATTGAAGAAGTTGCCGAAAGCGTGGAAAAATCAGAGACAGATACAACAGCTATAACTATTGAACAATTGGAAGCAAACACTGTAGATGTAATTTCTCAGGAATCACAAGTGAAGGTAGTGAATGTTAACAAGCAGTCACTAGTTGCGAATTATGATAGCGATTCCAATGATAATGGTAGCGATGATGTTTTCGAATCTGATGCAATGCAAATAAGCGATTCTAAGGACTATACTGTCGCCCTGACAGAGCAAAAGACGGATGAAGAGCAGTACGTAAAATCGCCTGTCAAAGAAGAGGATGTCGACAGTACAAATTTAGTCTCTGATGTGCCTCAAGAACCAGCGTCTGTCGAGCAACAGTTAAAACCTTTAGAAACGAAACTTGATGAAGTATTAAATCAAGATGCAACTGTAGTCATAGACGAAGACATTAAAATTAAAGAACAAGATCATGCCGACGAAACGCAAATTGAATCTGCTTACAATAACATTGAATATCGTTCGAATGACCAATCAACAATGCCTTTAAATAAGGATGATCTTGAAGAAGAAACGGATGTTCAGGATATTTCTGCTACTGATGATTCCAAAATATCAGAAATGTCAGAAGCGACGAAGCTTACAATAGCTCCGATCACGACTGAGAAGTTAACCGAATCTCTTCAGAACAAGAATTTAGAGATGACTGGCAGCGATAGCGAGAAAAGTAGGGAATACCTCAATAATTCGATTGATAACGTGAAGACATTGCAAGACAGTGTAGAAGATTCTTTTGAGACAACGGAAAAGGCAGATGGTTTAACATCCGAAAATGTTTGTGATTTTAGCGAAAGCGACGCGAATAAAACCGCAAAGATATCGCACGATACTCGAGAGAGCACGGAATTTAACGCTACGGACAATCAACAAGTGACTGATGTATTTCATACAACAGAGCAAGCGAAAAATGTGGACGAGAAATTGAATGTTAATTTGGATACCGATAATATCGCGAAGTCAAAAAATGTAAACGAACTCATTACTGAGGAACTGCCTATTCCGTGTAAAAGATTCAAAGAAGATCTCGCCGAACATAGTAATGAAGACAATAAATGGGACGTGAAGTCGCAAGAGGAATGTTTAACTAAACCGTTCGCGGAAGAGGTGAATTTACCACCGATTCAAGCAGAATCGGATGTTATGCTAACGAAACTGGATAATACTTTAGATACGGATAAATCACACACATGGAAAGCTGAGGGCGCGAGTTTAGAGGGGAGCGTGTCTTCGGATGCCTTGTATTATTCGAATTCGATGTCCGCGAAGGTGGACAATGTTAATAGCTTGGACAGCTGCAACAATCAAAATGAGCCTTTTAGTGTAGACATGAATGTAAATAAGATTACGGAGAACTTTGATAGGACTGCGCCTTCAGATGCGAATGATGAATCGATGACTGAATTTTCCGCTCAGGAGATTATTTCAGAAATTGATACTGTAAAATCTGATCCAAAGAAAGAAGCCAGCAAGAGGCTGAACGATGCCTCGGACATAGAAGATGTTCCTCCGTTAAAGTCTAAACCTCCGTATATGGAAACCGATGACAAGACATTGGAAAGTTTAACAGATTCCGATATGCAGACGCCTAAGATTTTAGATACGTCCGACGTGGCCGAAAAATTGAGGCCACAAATTGAGGAGGAAACGATAGCATCAACGATCTCCACAACGCAATTGTTTCAAAATGACTTTGATACGGTGAATGACTCCGCGGCTATCGCGTCGACAGAGGATCCGAAGAAGGTCGATTTGATAGAAACTGCGGAGAAGAAAGAGTCTTCGGAAATTCAGGACATCGAGATGAATATTTCCGCAGCTTCTGATGACTCGACAGGCGTGGACAACGAAAGTGTTTTTAACGTACCGCCAGAAGAGGCAGATCCTTTAGCGTGCACCGATGACGACACTTTGAGAAATATCACCGAGGATGCGTCTGACGCTTCTAAGATAAGTATTCGCGTAAAGCCGACAACCGATTTGGCTTACGAGGGATGGAAATTGGATAGCACTACGGAACCGCCAAAAGTCTCGCGAAAGCGGCGAAACAGCGCTCATGAATCGAATTCCGAGGACGGGGCAGCGAAGCAAGAAGACGACGAGATGATGGGTGGCAAAAGGATGAAGTTACGCGCGAAGAAACGTATGCCTGATAAGGAATTACGAAAGTCCATCGAGAAAAGTCGTGGAGTAGCGAGCTCCGAGGACGAGGCTGTGAAATGTGGTCCTGAGAATGCAGCGGAGCACGCGAATAAAGACGGCATCGACGATGATCCGAACATGACGCAAGCAATGGCGATCGACAAAAAGATCAGAGGTCGTCCTAGGGGTAGAAGGAGGCGTGGTTTCCGGGGTGGTGGGCGTCAGAATCGGCCAAAACTCACAGAATTCCAGGGCGATCAGGCATCGCCTGGTGCTCATCCTGATGGAACGCCTAACGATGCTTTAAATACAGCGCAGAAGAAACGGAAAAAACGTAAGTATATACGTATGGTGATCACGCGTGAGATACGTAATAGAGTGAAAGCCTATTGATTGAAAAAAATTTTTTTTTATAGGAAAAATGGTCTTGGGCTTAGAAATAGGTAGAGATATCTCGTTGGAGACGGAAGGACCAGTGACAGGACAGGATGAGATGCCAGTCAGGCAGTCAAGGAGAATAGCGCAGTTGAAAATAAAAGAGCAAGCAGACAGGCGTAGAATCGAGGAGGAAACTATGCGTGAGATAGAAGACAAAAAGGAATCAGAGAAGAAAAAGAGAAAGAAGCAAAAGGTACGTAATCAAACATTGTTATGTTAAACGCATAAAAAATTGTATATATGTATACACAACATACATATTGTAACAAAAATATACATATATATATATGTATGTTTGTTACATATATGTATATAAAAAAAATATATATATATATATATATATACATATGTATAATAAAATAAAATAAAATATATATACATATATGTATATATGTAATCATAATTAATATAAATAATTGTTTGTGTCGTGTAGCCGGAAAGCGAGGAGGAGGAAGTTATAATAAAGGAAATTGAAAAGGAGAAGAAATCCAAGAAGAAACGTCGAAAGAGGAAGAAAAAGAAAATGCTTGCCAAATTTAACGAAGCGAATCCATGGCAGAGCTCATCTGGGTCTAGCAGTGACGAAGAGAACGAGAATGAGGATGAGGAAGACGAAGACGAAGAAATGGAGAGCGAGGGATCCTTGCTGTTTAAAAGTGATCATGAATTTTCTCCGGAGAGCGATCTCGAGAAGGATCAAGAATCTGAGCCATTAAGACGTGCTAGAACAGCGCAAAAAGGTAAGCTTTTTGCTAAAGAGGGATTTAATGGGGCTCTTATTCGACCATTGTATTATATATTTATCTTTCATTAGCCCAAAGTGATGAAGTCGAGGAAGCTGAGGATGAATATGCCTGTCAGAAATGTAGCAAGGCCGATCATCCCGAATGGATTCTTCTTTGCGATTCTTGTGATAAAGGTTGGCACTGCTCGTGCCTTAGGCCAGCTCTTATGCTTATACCCGAAGGCGACTGGTTTTGCCCACCGTGCCAACATGTAAGTTTATCTTTGTATAGTTTTTATAAATTGTCGACACACATAAATATCGCACACTTTCCGCATGATTTCATAGCCGATTGCGATAGTATATGTATAAATGTAATTATAAAATTATCTTTTAAGACTTTATTGGTGACCAAATTACGGGAGACTCTAAAAACACTGGATCAGTTTACAAAAAGACACGAGAATGAAGTACTACGGAAGAAGCGATTGGCTTTTGTCGGCATAAGTCTGGATAATGTACTTCATAAAGGTGAAGGGCATGGGTCGAAAGCATCCAGTCAAGAATCAGACAACGGTGAATGTCATATATTTTATATTATAGTTTTATGTTTTTAAAAATACTGCGATATTGTGTTAAATAATAATGATCGTGTATCGTTTTGCATAGTATACGCGATATTAATCTGTTTTTGCAGAATCTTCAGAATCTTCTTCATCGACCTCCAGTTCCGAAACATCGAGTAGCGAGGAAAGCGAGCCAGTTTATCAATTACGAGAACGTCGGTGCGCCAGCACGTACAAGTTTAATGAATATGATGATATGATTAATGCCGCAATTCAGGATGAAGTTGAAGCGGTTCAAGGTGCCGGCAATCAGGGAAGAGGCAAGGACATTGCAACGATAGTCAACGCGGAAAAAGAAGAAGCACAGGTAGAAATAATTAAATAGATATGTAAAATATACGAGAAAGTAATATGTATTATCAGGCATAATCAGTGAACTTTATAATTTACTGAAACGCTTATAAGGGGGAATTCTGCTTGATTAAGTTGAGAGAGATAGTTTCATGAAGATTTTTTTCCAATCTTACATGTACTATCTGAGTTGAAAAATATATAAGACTTGTTCGTGTTGCTTGAAATTTCAAAAAATTTTTGCACTAAAAGCAAGAATTGTATATGTATACATGTTTTTATTTATTTATTCGGACGTTGCCCGAAAGAAAGTGAAAACTTTAAATGCAAAAAATGCAAGCAATGCAAACAGACAATAGCTAACAAGATAAAAGAACGTAGTATATTAGAGAAACAAAGAGCACTATCTTCTGCTAGACACGCTCTTTATCTTGTTAGATATCGCCGATTTGACTGTTTTTATGTGGTAAGAGTTCCAGTTAAGCCTGAGGCATACAATGCGATTTCTCGTATTAGAATTGCATGCGAATGCAAAATATAATACGGAAATAATAATCACATTTCTTTGTTTTACAGGCTGAAGCGTTAAAGATGACGCAATTAGAAGAGGACAAGGACGATGTGGAATCAAAGCCGGAAAAAGAAAGTGACGAGGAATTTAAGATTGACAATGAAGATGCGATCGATGAATTAGAAGAGGAACAAAATATGGTTGTTAGGAAATTGCTATCACGTAAGAAACATCGAAAGCTGAACAGCCTCGATATAAGCAGTGAAGACGATCCGGATAGTGACGAAGATTTCAAGGGTACGAGCTCTGACGAAGAGGAGGACTTTGATGATCATATCACATCATCCGATGACAGTTTTGCTGATAAACGACGTGGTAGAAAAGGCGATTCGCGCCCTGTTAGGAGATCTACCAGGGCGCGCATGACTAGGGCCTATGATGAAGATTTTAGTAAGTTTTGACATTATTTGTACTCTTTTAATATCTCTGTGTGAGCATGTGTATGCATACGTGCGTATGTGCTCGTGCGCGTGTATGCGTGTGTGTATGTGTCTTTTCTATGTATTTATTAATTTATATTTTATTTCTGAAACCGATTACAATCACTTCATTTTTTTTCACTTAAAATCTTCAATTAATTTTTTATAAACTGAAGTATTAAGGGATGAAATGAAAGTCGAGATTAAATTTGGAATCTACATTATATTGATTGCTTTTACATGAATCTATACGTCATCCCAATGTTTTTTGTACAACCATCTTGTATAAATTTTATCAAAAAATAATTATTAAATTTTTATTTGAAAATTTTTAATTATCTGTCAAACAAGATTATTATTTAATTTACAGGATTATTATTTTTAACTTAAATAATTATAAAAATTGATTATACAAAATTTTTAAAATATTGTAATTTATGTCTAAGTTATGTCTTATTTGAGTTAAATAATAATAAGTGACACTAAACTGATATACGAATAACACAAATAAGTAAAGAAAATATCTTGTTTACGTGTAAGGTGAATTTTTACTGTTTAAGAGAATTCTGGATTGACGGGAATTTTTTTTTATCGACAAGGTTTAAATTTTTTTCGCTTAGCTTTTATAAAGAATTGCAAACACTTTTATAGTACAATATTCCTTTAAAATACATTTATGAATAAATCGCGGGACACTCAGCTTAAGGTAGTACAGAATAATCAGAATTTTTTGAAATTAAAATTATACATTGTACTATAGAAGACGTTAATATGCTTGTGCAATTACAATAAGATTGAGCCATTTTAATACTGAGATATCTATAAGCAATTAAAAACTGTACTTTTTGTACATGTTGCTTATATATTCTTGAAAATGTCGTGTTTTTATTTTATATAGTCTAAATTAGCAGTGATGTATTAATAAAACGAGTATGGGATGGAGGAAACATGAAACAGCTGTTGTCAAAAATTGTCATAATTTTTTATCGTTTTATTTTGTCGTTATTTTTTATCGTTTTAGTTTAGAAAAACGTAGATGTGAAAAGATTGCAATTTTCAATTTTGTTTGGCATACGGAGGCGATTGGAAGAGGCGGTCAGTTAGTCAAGCTGCATTATAATCTTCTATCTGTTTTTCAGTTAGTCGAGTTGCAATATAGTCTTCTGTTTGTATTCAGTATTTTTTTGCAAAGTTTTCTCTCACTAGCGGGAGTGGGAGTATTGCCACCGAGCGCGCGATGAGACCTAACTTTTGAATGATATTATCGCGAGTGTATTACTTTAAGAAATTAAAAAAAAAATCGAAAAGTTATACATGTATTATAATTTTTTAATTTTTTTAATTTTATAAAACAAATTTGAAGAAAATTTGAATCTGTAATGTTGTTACAATCTGTAATTGTAATTCTCGTTAATCTTCTATTTTTGTTAGGATTCTTTTAATAGTATTTCTGTGTAAATTTATATATATGTCGCGTTCTGCAAACTGAGTGTTAGTCGTACTTGAGTTAGTTATACTTTTTAATATTCAATTACAATTTTTAATTAAAACTTAAAAAAGTTATTTAAATATTTGTTTAAAATATTGTTTAAATATTGTTTGTTCTTTTCAGTTAATGATGACAGTGACGACAGTGATCGACCAAAGAAAAAAAAATCGCGATCCATGTGGGGCGATTCGGATAGCGAAGACAGCGATAACTCGTGGAGGCAGAGGAAGAAAAAGTGCGAAATGCATAATATTAAAGATATATTAAGAACATTATTGTATGGGAAAATATTTAAAATGTTATTTGTAAAAATTATTATAGGAGCAGAACAATATCGACAACCAGAGTCAGGACAATACCTAAAACAAAGGGCAAGAAGAAAAAAAAGAGAAAACGTATAATAGAATCTGATAATCAAAGCGAGAACGACGAAGATGATGAACCGAAAACTGAAGGACAATGTGAACCTAATTTACAAGACTTCAATACCACTATAAATGAGATGTTGGATGTGAATAAACAGGAGAATTTTGAAACTTCTCCAGGCGAAGGCAATGTTGAAATAAAAGATGAGAGATTACAAGAGGAAGCAGTAACAGTAGCAGGAGCAGCAGTATCTTCAGACATCCCGATTTCACAGATTCAGCAGCCGTCAGAAATTGTGCCGATCCAGAAAATCAAAAAGGTAAGAGTACATTTTAATTAATTATTAAGATGTGATAATAAATATTATTATTTTTTTAGGATGTTGTGCCTAAACCGAAAAAAGCTCCTGCTATTAGACGAAAAGTATGTATATTGTCTATCTTTATTTAATAATTGATTATGAGTGTTTTATTTTCGATAATAATTTTATTACATTTTTTTTTACAGATTATTTATGGCGGACTTCCAGATGAAAACAAAAAAGAAGAGGAGGAAATATTAAGTAGACGGACTCGAGGACGAAAGATCAATTATCGAGAAGAAATGGCGTCAGATAGCGAGGAGGTGAATGATGATTTTAATTTTAACTTGTTTAATACACATGAAATTATCACGTGTATTAAGATCTTAATATTTTACAGGAGCTGAAAAAAGCGTTAATGATGAGAAAAGCTGGCGAAAGCGAAGATGAGTTTGTGATGAACGAGGCTGATGATATAAATGATGATGGGGATAAGGATTCTGATTCAGGTAATATAATATTTTTATATCTTATAAGATTCTGAAATTTATTATACACGAATAAGCAGAAGCAATTTTTCATATTAAAACTAAAAATAAATTAAATATTTATACATTTATTAACAAATATTGAAGATTATTTGATTTGAAAAAGAAAGATTTAATGCACATTTCTAACTCATTTTATTCACAAGAGATTATTTCTTATTAAATTTATTAAAATTATTAATTTACTAAATATTTCGTATAATGTATAAATATAAAAATAATAACGGCTGTGTATTTATATAGATATTGATTAAATGTTTTAGGAGATGTTTATATTCCTAAGAAGGATTCCTTAAAATTTAAGAACAAGTCACCGAAGACGAAGAAATCACGTAACGGTAAGAGCCCTGGAGCAAAACGTAAATCGTTATCTGATGATTTACCGAAGCAAAGAAAAAAACCTGGACCAAAGCCGGGAAGCAAGAACAGAGGACGCAAGCAAAAGTTGAAGGATGACATGGATGGTGATATGATTGGCGCAGTTATGGATAATCCTATTGGTGATATAGCATCTAAAATGGATGAGAATCTTCCAGATAACGTTGGACTGACAGGCACGACGATGTCAGTAGCAAGTTCATTTACCGGAGACGTTCCTGAAGGATCACTGACGGGTCTTGGTGCCGGAGAACTGGCTGATCTAGACGATGAACAGCTTGAGCAGATGATGATGGATGAGGAGTACGGACGGCGGCAGCTGGAACTCGCGGCAATTGAAATAGCGAAGAAGAAGAAAAAGGAGGAACGGGAAGCAAAGAAGCTGGAGAAAGCGCGTTTGAAGGCCCTGGAGATATTGGCGGCGGAGAGGCAAAGGGATCCCAACGCACCTGAAGGAACGGACGGCGAGGTGCCCAAGAAAAAGAAGCGTGGACGTCGCAGCAAGGCCGAGATACTCGCTGAACAGATGCGCAGGGATGGCGCGTCGAATCTGGGCATCGCGCCGACGGGGGCCATCGGTGGAATTGGCACGCCGGATGGCATGAGTAATATGTCACACAACATGAGTCCTGCCTTATCTACGGGTCTAACGCCGGAAACTGACAGGAGCGTCGAAGGACACATGCCTCTTATGACTGGACCGGATGGACAGCTTTTCAATCCGGATGGCACGCCCGTGAGGCCAAAACGACGAGGTCGCGGCAAGGGTAAGAAGACTCTCGCATTGGAGGCGGCTAGAGCAGCGGAAGCGGCGGCTAAGGTCGCGGCCGAGACCGGTTTGATCGGCATGGGTACTGACTCGAACTCAGACATGAAACAGAACGATATACCGAACATTCTTCCTACGCCAGGTAGCAGTACGTCTGGTTCGGCGCCCTCCACACCACCAGCGAGCGTGTCGACACCGGGCCCTCCGTCGACGCAGCCGTCGAATTCGCAGCCGATTTATCCATCATTACCACCCGGTCAACAGTCTTCCGTTATCACAAGGATGCTTCAGTCCCAACCGGTATCCAGCACTCCGCAGTCATTCACCGCGGCGGCAGCCGCGATGGGTCACAAGTATTTCGGCGGACCCAACGCCGGTGGACAGATGATGGGCGGTCCGCGAACGGGATACGAGATGCAACCACGTGCCAGGATCCCGTCTCCTTACAGGCAGGCGGGTCAATCGTCCATGCCACCGCATTTCGCCGCGGTCAGATCGGGCACGCCACCGATGCGTATGCGAGTACCCGGACCGCAGATGTATCACACGCCACACCATCCAATGGACCCGTCCCCATCGGGCGGCGGACCGATCTCCATTAGCAATCGGGACCGCAGCTCGCCCTTGACGCCCGGCGGACCGGCGATGATTCCACCGTCGGCCGGCAGTCCATTGGCCAAGGGCGGCCCAACGCCGCCACCGCCACCCCCACCATACGTGCGGGGTGGTCCGCCGATGGCTAGGTTTGCCGAGAATCCTATGGGACCTAGGCATCAGATGCCGCCATTTACCAATGCCTCGCCTGTTAATCACAACATGCAGCAACCTTCACCACCCCCCAATCGACCACCCGGTAATTTTTCACCGTATCATCCTCCTCCACCTCCCAATTATCACTACGGTGCCTATCCGCCGCCTCCGCCAATGTCCACGGCGGATGACGCAGCTGCCTACCAGAGTTCGCCGTATACTTCAGAGCATTTCTCGTCGCCGGCAGACAACCAACCACCGATTCAAGGACCGCCACCGCCTCAGGCGCCGCCGCCGCAGCAATCGCATCCGAATGATGAAGATCACGGCACCGGCGAATTTGGCGGGCTGGTATCTTACTTCAGTAGCCAGAGAGAGGACGATCTTGATTCGTAGCATGAGTGAGAGCTTGGCCAACCCTGAATTATTAGGTAGGGGGAGCGTGCCCAGGTAAGACCGCAACTTTTGCTACAGAGGGAAAAGTGGTAGCGCAAACGCACGAATCTCGGATGATTTAATTTTTCGAGGACATTAGTGCGTATGTCAAGTGGAAAATAAATCTGTTAGAGTCTTCCTCTTCGACCTCTAAAGCAAACAGTTGTCCCGTAGTCCTTGCACTTCTTATGCCGTCGGAGGCAAATCTAAGGTTGGCCAAGTGTAGAGCGAGCGAACGATGAATCATTGTGACAGGGCGGAGCCTATTTTTTAAGAGTTGTAAGTTTTTCTGTAATTAGTTTTCAGTTTCATTGGATTTGTATACAACGGTGTACAACCGCAAAACTAACTCTAACCCTAGTGAAGACGTAGCGGTTCGTTTCTTTTGGGCAAATAACGAGACGAAAGATCTGACCAAAACCATTTTTCATTATTCGTTATAATCCGTCGATGAAAATTCAAGCGAGGTTAAGTTTTTTCCAGAAAGTTTTAAGACGAGAATGTGATATTCATTCTCCGCGACGTGGTAGAGTGTCCTGTGGAAGGAAAAAACGAGAAATTGATCTTTAATAATGACGAATAAGGAATAAAAATTATCGAGTGGTTTTGAACGACGCATCGTTATTAATGTGTACATATTGTAAATATCCCGTAAGTCCTTTAGAGTATGTATTACATGTATTATATATACACACAACACATGCAGTCATGCAGAATACTACAAAAATTATTAGTGCGGAAGGGGCACAAATGTAATATTTAAATTTAATTCAAAAGAATGACATCTGCATATTATAAATTAACAAAATGGTGTGAAAACTATTATACTATAATTATTTATAAAGAAAAAGATTAAGAATTTATGATAGGCAGTATATTGTATTTTACAAATTTTACTTGATAATTCTATGAGAAACCATTAAATATAGTTATATATTGGAGAACAGGAGGCTGCTTTAACTGTATCCTATATGAAAAATAAACAGAATGGATTTTAACAAAACCAGCAGTTAGCGTAATTGGCGATGCATGGGTAAATTTTATTATATCATGGCATGCAGTTGTTTACATATTCCTACATCTATATGATTTTGATTTATTCAGACATGTGCAAATTTTGTATAATATGTCGCGTCGTCCTTCAAATAGGAAAAAAAAATAGAAATATATATATGTATGTATATATATATATATATATATGATACATATATATGTTATTATATATAATTATATTATGAAGTAAAATAATTTTTGGTATAATTTTGATTTCAAAATAGTCTGCATTGTCCGTGCGTATGGTGCGAAGGATAACGCTGTCTCGTTCGGACACTACCTGAAGAAGTTTCTTTCTGCACTCTTAATTTGCCACTATCTACATTCTTGTCTATTGTCATGTTCATATTAGCTGTTGTATGTGCTCCGAGATCTGGATTTCGTCCAACGTAAAAATCACTTTCCCTGAAGTGAGCACGATATGGGTAAAACAATATATTATAAATATTCGAGGTTAGTATAAATTCGAGGAAGTATTTTGAAGAGATGACTATTAAAAATTTGGATTGATTTAATTAACGTTAACTAATTTTAATGTTAGTTAATTCTGATTCTCTTCTTAATGGCAAAAGAAGATACATAATTAGTTAAAATTAATTTGATGTATATTCATTTTTTATATTACGCGAGTGATTGTATTAGCGTCAAGTATGAGAAGTGAATATTGATTAAATTAATCTGGAGTGTAGAAAGGAAATCGCAATAGATCGGGATGTCCGCTGGACAGACGCAATTACACTGGTAGCTGGTGGCTTCGCGTTTCACGAAGTTTAAATTTTTCAGTTTTTCAAATCTTATGGATGATCATGACAGCCTCCTGCTCTTTGAAGTTAAGGCCGTTAGTGGCCGCATGCGACGGAAGAAGAAATCATGTATCTGTTTAGTTATCACACGTACATGCATACCTAATATAAATAGAAGCTATATGAATAAACAAGAAAAGGATATTACATTATCTTAGGATTAGCTTGCTTGGGAGAGTTTCCTTTACTACGTTGAACATTTTGCGAAACCGAATCGAACGGTTATACACATATACACGTATGAAAACACCTACAGACATGTACACAGACTCTACATGCCGTAATAATGTAATAGAGGGGTTTACTACCACTAATTTTATTATTTTTACACCTATTACGATGTATATCGATTGTGCGCAGTTCGATGTACAATCACTATCGTCTTCTTTAGGCACAGCATGTCTTTGGGGCCGCCGGTTTTTAGGCTGCGTCTCGAGGAAGCAGCTCTATCGTGTAAAACCACTGCTTCCTTTTTTTCTTTAACGTGCAATCGGCAAGAGCGATTGCCTGTAATGCGATATTATATATTGATGATGATTCGTAAGAGATAGTTATAAAGATGTATTTGAGTCACATCGGAAATTATACATTCAGCGAGACCCTTCTCTCATCGAGCTTCTGCAATATGTGCGTCAGTTAGGAGCGATAATCATTTAGAAACATTTGAATGATTTAGCGCACTATTTTACAACGGCTTGTATTTTTAAGAATTTAAGAAAATTAATCTGAGAATTGAGAAAGTAAAAGTTGTGTATTAATTTTCTCGAATTTTTCAAGAAACGTACCGAGATCGTTGGGTGCGCTAAATTTTTCTTTGTATTGTCAAGCGATATTATTCAGAAATGGAGATATCAATAAAGATCGCTGACAGTACAGAATATCTTTATAAATATGGATATATATAACTGAAACATGCATTCAATTCAGAGATATCATACACGTTTTCTAAATTCATGTGCGGCATTACATTTAGCGACATATTCTCTAATATTTATATATAAATTTATATAAAAATAAATATTTCGAATATATTGCGACATGAAACGGCTAATTGTCGAAAAATTCAAACGATGTAAAATGCAACAACATGAGGACGGTTTGTTTTTTAATTTGCATGACAATTTTGAAAGTATTATCGTGTGCTTTATTTTTGTTTGTCCTTATCGATCTTTCCTCGAGGCGTGAATTAGCGAAGTGGCTCGTTAAGACAATAGTAAACATGGTGCAGTTTAGCTTTTTCTTTTGATAAGGGTCTAGACCAAACGCAATTATATTACATGTTGTAGCCTAAATAAAAGAATTTTCTAATAAAATTCAATATATTGAAATAATATTGTCGAATCTTTTTACTTTTCCTTCACCTTTCCATTCTTTTGTCGCCCCTTATATTGTTCTAAAATATGAGAGATAATGAACCTAATTTTTAACAAAAAGATATTTTTAGATATATGAAATATAATTAGAGAATTAAATTTTTACGCGTAATGTATTGTTTTACAAGTATTAAATTATAAGGAGTGTTTTTACTGATAAAAAGAGCTGGTATGTTGTATATCTGAAATAATAACTACTATATTCTTTGTTTATAATTTATATATCACATTAATATAGTTTATTTTATTTATTATTTTTTTATCGTTATAGTACCTTAACTTAAAAAATACTGATAAAAATTATTGTAATAGATTTTGTAATTTGTTTTGTCAATATATAAACATTTTTTCTCTATTTTCAACTTAAAAAATAATGAAGAATCATAATAAATACAATAATAATAAATAACGATAATAGATAAATAAATTATAAATATATTAAATAAAAGTTTGATGCTATTTGCCTAACTGTTTTTTATGTTTATTTAGTTCTAGCTAATATTCATTTTTATATGAAAAATATAAATATTAACACATTTCTAATTTCGAACTTTTTGCAAGAACTATATATATGGGTTATATATCCTTAATTAAATGTTTAAAATATATTTTACTTTTCAATTTGTTATTCAATATACGTACAAATAAAGTAATTTTAAAAAATAATAGATTACTAATAGAATTAAATTGCATTAACAAATTAGTTTTTATGTCGATTCTGGTCCTATATGTATAATTTTTATATGTATAATTTTTATAACTAGAACAACACAGGCGCGCGCTACTGAACTTTTGACGTATACTTTTATACTATTTCAAAAATCAATACATAATTTTAAAATTATAAATTTATATTATTACAATCTTTATTTAATTAAAATGTAAACACAAATAGAAAATAGTAAAACAACTAAAAATAATATTTCAATAATCTTTTATTATTAAACTGTATATAATTAATTCATCATAGAACATCTTATATAACATGCAACAGTATTATATAAAATGATGCTATTAATTTTTATAAACCATGACAAAAAATCATTAATTAAATAATGCAAGTTTACATATATATTTCTTTATATACATAGTTTTTAACTTGTTTATTTTCTCGTTGACTGCTAAGATAATCTTTTAATGCTTGCCAAGTGCAAACGCGTGAAAAAGCAACATAATAAGTTGCCCATGATTGAAAACATCTTTGCGCAAATCTATTCTTACTCTGTCAAATGTTTGTTCTTGTGACTTGTTGATTGTCATTGCAAAAGCTAATTTTATTGGAAATTGTCTTCTTTTAAAAGTAAAGAAATATATATTTTTGCAATACAATGTTATACAACTTAAGAAAACGACATCTACTTTATTGCCCGTTAAGATTTTGCATTTTAATAAATGATCAACAAGCTCTATAATCATTAATCTAGTGCCATTGCAAAGACCTTCATTAATATTAAGATTTCTAATCAACGTAATAATATAATATTTTGTTAAACGTAATTCATAAGAAGGAAGAAACGACGGAGATAAAGTATTTAAATATTTTGATAGTAAAGTTTCACTAATGTCACCATTATCATCGCAATTTTCAGTGCTATCTATATACTTGTATAAATTTGTTTCTTCAAAAGTATCTAATAATTCGAACATTTCGAACATGTAATTTATACGTTGAGTGATCTCGTTCTTAATGTAATAACGTGCATTTTTTCAGTGACCGGTACATCGAAAAACAGCTATATATTAACAGAGAGCTGTTTGCCGTCTATAATTGTCTGAAATTACTTTACATAGTGACAGATAAATGTCATTACTATGCTCTAGTAAAGACAAAAACTAATTTTAACTGTAAATTTGTTACTATTAACGAGTTAATTCTCAATTCTGCAGAAATGTATATATATGTATTCATGCAAGCACATAGGCACTCATGAATGTATTCATGCAAGCACTCGTACATTTTGTTAGGCGTCGTGCAAATATATTAATACAAAATTTCACAGTAATACATTCATTGAAAAATACTCATTAAAAAATTTTGTCTGCAAAACGGCTTTCGAATAGAAAAACTGCGTCTTCACAAAGTTTCCCGCATTGTGAATAATTTGAAGCTATAAATTCGAAATAAACAAGTCCGCAATAGTTTTTTGATTACCTCATCATGAGGTAGGAAATTTTATTTTTTACTTACTTTGCCGCAATAGTTTTTTGATTACCTCATTGTGGGGTAAGAAATTTTATTTTTTACTTACCCTGCCGCAGGGTAAGCAATTTTTAATTTTCTTACCCTATCACGGGGTAAAGAATATTATTTTTTATACTTACCCTATCGCAGAGGGTAAGAAATTTTCAATTTTGCTTACTCTATCACGGGGTAAGGAATATTATTTTTTACTTACCCTGTCGCAGGGTAAGCAATTTTTAATTTTGCTTACCCTCTCACGGGGTAAGGAATATTATTTTTTACTTACCCTGTCACGGGGTAAGGAAGATTATTTTTTACTTACCCTGCCGTAATAACAATGGCTTTGTGTATACGTAGTTCCATTTCAAAAGTAGAAGCAATTGGCGCTAGTGTACGGGGAGGTCGAAATATCCTCTCTGACGACTCTGACTAGCTTCAGCTTGGAAGAAAATGGCGTCAACTAAGTTTCTGGAGGAAGCTCTGAGCATGGATGTCGACGAATCCGCAGTGAACGCGATAGTGGGCTCCCTCGAGTCGCAGTTTGTAATGTCCGCGCCGACTGTCGCCGGCCATCAAGCGAGTTCCGCATCGGTCAGCCAGCAGAATCACCAGGTGAACAGCGCTATTTCCAACGGGGGTACCATCACCGCGGTGCAGCCACAGGAACATGGGGTTTCGAACGGCGGCGGTGCGACTACCGTGAACAGTCTAATGACTCAGGAAGTCACCAAGTCGATCACCACCAGCACTCTGAAGCCCGTGAACGTGGTTACCCCTAACACAGTGGCGCCACAGGTCATCACCACGCAGCAGCCGCAGCCGCAGCCACAACCACAGCAGCAACAGCAACACGCACAGCCGCCAGGGATATCTTCCGCTATCTATATCAATCAAGAAATGACCAACCAAGTGTCCAGCAATCAGACTACGCATATACCGAGCTTGACCAAGACGCACAAACCAGTGAAGTTCATCTATCCCACGATTAGGTTTGGGCAAGTTATACCCACTACGGGGGTGGCAAATGCAAATAATAAGCTCTCCTTTCCCGCTCAAACTGTCGGGCAGTTAACAAATGATACTTTAGACATAACATCACAGGCAGTGCTGCAGACTACAGCGAACGTTGTTACCAATGACGGTTCTGTAAGCCAGGCAGCCAGCCAAACAGTGACCGCAGTGAATAAGCCGACAGGGGTAGCTTTTATGATTAAGAGATTTAATGTAGCACCTGGCATGGTTTCGGTACCAATGTCTGTTCCTGTCTCTGTGGCTGGCAATGCAGTCAGCACAGCTTTGCAGGCCAAGGATGAGGTTACTTCGACGATAGTACCCAGTAATGTTCAAATTCTTAATGAAAATACAATGCGTCCTGCGACACCAGTAGCGGGGCAGCAAGCTAATGAGCAGGTTACGCCTAGAGCGGTGATTGGGCAACACCAATTGGTCAGAGCAAGAACCGGAAGTCCAGGGGTAAGTCGTTCCATTTTTTTATTATAAATGATAAGATTCTTTCTGAAAGATTCTTTTGAAATTATGTATACCTGTATGTACAAAGGCATTGGAATTGATTTTTATATAAACAATGCTTATTTTTATATTTATAATATAAATATATATTATTTTGGTTAGCTAATTTTAAATATCTGAAATTTTAAATTCTATTATAAAAATATATATAGTTTTTAATATTTGTATTTCTTTACTTCTGCTATTAACTGTTAACACATACATATATTTATAATTATATATATGTATAATTTAGTTGTCCAACGATATAGTAAAAGATAAAATATAAAAAAATATGTGACGGTAATAAAACTAATGATTATTATCTTCAATTGTTTTTAACATTACAGGCACTTCATAATCCTCAAGCTGGTGCTCAACGTGGTGGTTACTTGTTATCAAAAACAGAAAATGGTCAGTATCAGTTACTGAGGGTGGGTCCAGCTCCATCTGCAAATAGTATAACTGGCAATGCAGTAGTTGCTGCACCATCTCCAGGCACTACACACCGCCTAACTTCAGTGCCGACTATAAGTAGGCTGAAGACTCAGTTCACTGGCCCATCACTCGCCACTATAAGAAGATACACTCCAAGAAGATCTGTTCAGGTGACGCACTTTTATACCTCTTACAAGACTCGTAGTGCTACTGTAGATATTTATTAGTCTGTGATTTTGTTTTCTGTGGAATGATGTTATCAATAAGCCAATATATTTTATGTCCATTGTTTGTTCACTTTATTTCATCTACTAAAATTTAATTATGATATAAACTTATTATTATTAACTAATTCTTTATTTATTGATTGTTTACGAATATTTAGTCCATTGTTATAACATTTAAGGCACTGTACATTACAGTTATAATTTTTAAAATTAAATTAAAATATTTTAATCTAAAATTAAAATGTAATTGTATAATTACATTATATGATTATATGATTAAAATATATTATGCAATTATATAATTAAAATATAATTTTTAAATTATAATTTTTATAAATTCTTTTTTCTAAATGCAAAAGTTTTATGAGGAATTTTGTTATCTACTATTATAGTATCTTTATTTTGATCTACATTCCATTCTAAAAATTTAGTATAATTGATAACATCTCATTATTAGCTTATTTTTGGGGAATGCATTCCTCTGGTAGTATGTCTTGAGTTTTTATGTAGAGCAGTAAATACAATAAAGTTCAATGTCTATCCAATTTAATTGCATGAATTATTGGTTAAAGTATTATGTAAAAGTTGATATGCTAGATGAAAGATAAATTATTTTAATATGAAGGAATATAATTGAGGATATTTATACATGCCTTATATTTGCTCCTTTATTGTATATTTTTATACATATATTTTTTTTAACTTTTTATTTTTCTTCCTAATGTTATAGTAAATATAGTATGAGCATGTGTGATTATTTAAAATTTTTATGAATCTATTTTCCATAAGCGTGTTTTCTAATTGGTATTAGAAATAACAGTAAAGAATTTCTTTAAATCTGTCCCTTTACTATTATATAAGACTAAAATGATCTAGTTTTATATACCGTTTTTAAATAATAACGTTTCTCTTTTTTTCTCTTTTAGCATCAAACTACTTATAATCCCAAAGAAAAGTGCCGTAAATTCTTAGCGAACTTATTAGAGTTATCTAGTCGAGAGCCTAAAGCAGTGGAACACAATGTTCGAACTTTGATACAGGAACTAATTGATACTAAAGTCGAACCAGAAGAATTTTGTGACAGACTCAGAATATTATTAAATTGTTCACCACAACCATGTCTCATTGGACTTCTGAACATAAGCTTACCTCTCCTGCGGCAATCCCTCGTTACGAAGGAATTAGTCATAGAGGGAATAAAACCTCCTCCAGCCAATGTTGTTTTTTCTATAGCATCAGCTGTTATTCCAACTATCACGGTAAAATAAACTATCCTTTTATGAATTTTATTATTTATATGACATACGAAAAATACCAACACATTAGTTTTTTATAACGTATTTAAAAATTGTGTTATATTTGTCTTATTTGTCTTATAAAGATCTAAAAATTTTAATCCAAAAGAAAAATTCGTGTTTTAGTAGGCAAAATTTACACTTTTTAAAAAAATTAAATTAAACGATATTATTTTTTTTTAATTAAATAAAATTAATATTTTTTAAGATATTAATCTGCTATGTTTTATTTAGCAGTAGTCACAACAACAGTTCCACGGCCTGCTCAATGTGTCCCACAAAGATTGGTAAGATTTTTATTGATATTTTAAACATTTTAATATATCTACAAGTATTAATAATTGAAACAGTTCTTACTGATTGTAAGATGTATGCACGAATTTTTTTAGTTAAATTTTAATATCTATGTATATTTATATAAAAATAAAATTAAAAATACGTAAGTATAAATAAGGCAGATGGGAATCAGCGTGGTTGTACGCACTAATTTATTTCTAAGAATTTTATTTTATTCAAAAGTCAAACGTTTCGGCTATTTTTTAGCCATCTTTAGTGACGTATTACAATCTATTTACAATATAATTTTGCTTTTAGTTTTTCTAACGCGTGTGTTCTTCAACGTCTCTTAGGTGAGGAAGTAGTTTGAGGTACCTTCCATGCAGTTGAAGGGCTGCATGTTTGAGCTTTGTGTCCCCAATTAAAGTCAATGTAAAAAATGAGAATTTTGATATAAAGGATCTTGCTGAAAGTTCACTCACCTCGAACGTATTAAAACACACTTTTCAATTCCTGGTAACAATACAATTGATAAATAACGGCACATGTGTGCACTGTGTCAAAATTAAATAGTTAAAAAAATAAAAATGTAAGACTTAGTTATAATTTAAAATGAGAAAAAGATAAAACTGTCGTAGCGATTGTACTCGGTCAAGCGAGTCCTCTTATATATCGTTCTTTATTAACAGTGTCTGTGGGACAAAAATTGTTTTTGTTTTTTGTATCTATTATAAACAATGACAATTACTATATATTTTATAGAATGCCAGATTTAACAGTTATATATTAAAAATCTACAAATCTTAGGGAGCGTATCTTGACATATACAGTATTATTAAAAATATATTTGTTGTACATTTAACGAATCTATGGTTTTTTAAATAAAGAGACACGTATCTCCAGTTTTTATTCATTTTTCTTTCACTTGTCATTTTACTTGTCATAACTCATACTTTATTCACTTCCGCATTACTAACTTGTGAAGTGTATATTTAATGTCATTGCATTGGCATTCAGCAGGATAATGCACGTTTAAATATTAAATCCGTTATTTTTATATTAAAATTTTTGTGATAGTAACGAGCAAGTTACATAACATTACGGTATAATTATAAATACTTGTTATGACACACAATGAAGTCTACGTA